GAGAATTTTGTATTCTACAATATTGATAATAAATACAAATAGCAAAAAACCCATAGGAAATGAGATATTTCCAAAAAAAGCGCAAAAAACCGATTTTTGTGACCTTTGACCTTGAAATTTAATAGTTGCTTACACCCTACCATATGTAGGTATTGAGACAACTTTTAGGGTGTCAATATACAAGTATTTACAGACTTACAGTTGGGTATTTCGAATTCCGAGGTGAACTTACTATGACTGGACTCATTTCCCACGAAATTCAGTTAAAATCATCGAAAATACATTAGTATTTTCATAAGAAAACACTCAGGATCACGTAGTCAACGTCTCTATACAAAATACATCAATATTTGTTGAGATTCCCAAACTATTTTTGATACTGTTATGCATCAAGTTTTTCTTGATATGTTGCAATACGGCTTATACTTGTATAGAACACCAGTCTTAGCAGTCGTTAGCATTGCCACATTAAACTAATTTGGTACCTTGATATCTTCACTTTTGACTTTGGAAGCTTCTAAGGTTATAATAAAGTCAAGATCGTCTAGAGGAGACACTTCGGATGTGCTGAGTTTCAGAAGAATTCTGTCTTGTATTTCTTTGAGTTCGTGTTTCATCTGAGCTACACTCACGACGATTTGGCTTCTCTGTTCTTCTAGATCTGGACGTTCCTGCATAACGACCAGTGCTAATAACTGATCCTGCAATCCACTGAAATTGAAAATTGTATTCAGGTTATTGTATGACAGCATAATATATTTAATTTTTATAGAGCAATGTTTAGTCTACGACTTCTGCCATGAACATACTGAAAAACAATTAAATTATAATAAAACAGATGTCCTAGAGTACTTCGATTGAGTATTCTGAATGACCGGAATTTACAAAAACCTGGTAGCCCTGGCCTGTACTAAGAAAGTAACAAGAAATTTTGAAGAAATACTACTCAAGAAGAATATTACGAAGATGTGAGTGTGGTTCATTGGGAAATAGAAACATCTGCTTCTAAAGTGGTCTTGAATTTTTTATATTCAGTAAAACAACTATCCGTAGGATGAGTATGTTGAGAAGTCGAGGAATCAACGAAACCAACTATAGGTTGACATGGGAAACTTGATATAACCAAGCATTATGGGAGAAATAGTAGTGACACGAATAATAAAGAGACGTCCTCAAAGAATGTTGTGTCTCTACTTTTGTGGAGCCTTGTACCAGTTACCAGAGTGGTCTTAGAGGTACCTGGCCTGACCTAGAGATGACGATAGTTGTTTGAAAAATATCACGGTATCAGAAAGTACACAATCTGTGAAGCATATGTTTCAAGCTTGAAGACGCTGTTGTTGCGTTGTTGTTCAGTATCTGTTTGGCAGCTATCAAGAGCGAACATTTTCGGTGAAATTGTGAAAATGGAGAAAATTGGTCATCGTTATGTGGTTAGGTTAACTCAGATTAGGTCCAGAGTGAATGGTTCTATTCGACCCTCCATCGCTACCCGCGCAGCAGTCTCATTGCCTTCCAGGCCAGTATGGCCAGGAATCCAGACCAGAGACAATTTGTTAAGTATTCCTGTCGAGGAGAGTCGTTTTTGGTAATTTGCTACCGATTTAGACGTTGCTCGATGGGAGCCAAGAGCTTCCAACGTTGCTTGTCTGTCCGAGAATATTTTTATTGACTTTTGTATGAGGTTGGATTCTTACAATCTCTCCGCAAACAATTCAATAGCGTAAATTTCTGCTTGAATACAGTCGTATAGGTTCTTCGGCAGGTTGACATTTCTATTCGGGTCTTCGACTGAATACACCTGCAACAGAACCGGAAGGTTTTTTTGATCCATCTGTAAACCAATAATTATCTGACGAGACGAACTCTGACGAGCATCGCAGTAGTTGACCAAATGAGGTGACGACTCCAGAAACGGTGAAGAAACTCTGCAAAGCGGTACCGAATGATCGTCGACTGAAAGTGAGCGAGCTAGCAGACTTAGTAAGCATTTCAAAAAGTGCGGTACATCGTTCATTATCTGAAAATTGGAACAACATGAGAAGGCTGTGTGCAAGATGGGTGCCACGTTTGCTCACACTCGAGCAAAAATAGTGTGGTGAAGATGTTTCAATGGAGTTTTTAGCGAAGTTTCACAGCACCAAGGCAGAATTCTTGCGTCGTTTCTTAACGATGGATGAAACATGAGTCCCTCATTTTAGACCTGAGACAAAAGAAAAATCAGAACAGTGTACTTAAATGGTAGAACCAGCTCCAAAGGAGGCGAAGAACGTTTCATCTGCAGGCACGGTCCAGGCATCGGTTTTTGGGATGGGCGTGGCATAATTGTCATTGACTCTCTTAAAAAAGTCGAAACTATCAAGTATTATGCAAACTTAATGCAACGTTTCAGTGAAGAAATCAAGCAAAAACGGCCGCATGTGGCTGAAAAAAGTGTTGTTTCATGAAGACAATGCACCAGGTCACAAATCCAATATCGCAATGACCAAAATTAATGAATTTAAGTTTGAATTACTACCTCATATGCCCTTTCCGAAAGATTTAGCTCCCTCGGATCAGTTTCTATTCCCAAACTTGAAAAAATGGCTCGGTGGTGAAAGATTTTTCAACGATGAAGAAGGGATGTCGGCAGTTGATGGCTATTTTGAGGAGCAAGACAGTTCTTATTATAAAAACGGTATCGAACTTATTGAATGTCACTGGGAAAAGTGTATAGAGCTACAAGGAGATTGTGTTGAGAAATAAATACATTTTTTTCCACAATTTTAGTGTTTTCTTCGTTGGGCCGGGAGTGGGCTATGAAGACGACTGATAGTCATCTCAGTTCAGAACAAATACAAAAAGAAAGTGCGGGGACGCTCATTATTACAAGCTCGACCGAGTAGAAAGGGTTAACAAGCACTTTCATATCGACGACAGAAATATTTATCAAGAGATAAATATAGAAGGACTGGGACCTCTGAAACTTCGAAGTAGAGAGATACAATGGAAGGGGGAGGTCAAATATCTGGGAGTTATTCTGTATTCCAAATTGACCTGGAACCAAAATCTAAAATGGTTGAAAAGAAAATAGCACTGATGCTAACCAGAAGCACCAACAGAAAAGTATGAGAACTTAAAGGAAATATGATGGATCCAACGATTTACTTGAAGATACCTAAACGAAAGAGTTCCATGGTGTTCCAAGGTCAAATATAAAATTTCCTCTTTTTAATATATTTAAAATTCTATAACTGACAGTCTGTCATTTCAATATTCATGAAAAATAACAAAGAGCCTCTCACGTGATTCGCTTCACTTGTTTTCTCTTGTTTTTTTTTCGTTATTATAAAATAATACAAAATAGAAAACCTCAACTATTATGATTTCCAGTTTTGAAAATTGTACAATGATTTTGTCTTCTCTGACATGTGCTATTTGGTAAACACCATTTTGAACACGGCTAACCTCAATAACAGTTAGTTATGCTTTTCCTATTCATAATATCTTGTTTTGTCATATGTAATAAATTCATAGTTTTTTCCTGATGATGATAATGAAACTTATCGAAATATTGAAATACCTTCTGCTATAAGAGTATACTTTCGTATTGCTGCTCACCAAAATAACTTCATAGTTTTGTTTTCGACGGGTCAGCAAAGACTATTCTCAAAATTATACTAGGATTATTTTTCAATCATGTGATATAATAGATGAATTGAATGGGAGATATTTTGAGGTGAGATTTATTTTCAGGATAGAGAGGATTTGGCTTTCTATTTCACCATCTTTATACAAAAAATGAGGGAAAATTCCAAAGAAAGAAATGAAGCAATTAATTTTAAAATAAACTCCATACAAATATGTGTAGATCATATAAAGTAGTAACTTTCAGATACCAACTGAAAGGAAAAACCCTCTCGAAACAACTACTAAATTATACAAAAGAAAAATACTTTCGATATAACTACTTTCATATCAACAGTGATTCATAATGAAAACCTTTTCACGTAGTCAGTTTATACTCCAAACATTTGTTATGGAATTGAATCAGATATCGATTATAGGATTGCTACACAATATAGTACCACCTGTGCTGAAAAGTTTCGGGCCTAACACATAGATGGTACTAGTCTTATTACATTCACCGTTCTTTCAGTTAGTACTAACCTTCAAAAGAACGCTCTTGAAATTTCATGATATTTTACTCATAAGTTTGTGAGTTATTGTGCTAAGAGCGACACTACTTTTGTTATTTTCAAAACAATGGATCAAAAACAATTTCTTGTTTTAATTTTCCGCTTCTTGATGGGAAAAAATCCCGTTCAAGCAGAGCAATGGCATGAAAAGTGTTATGAAGACCCCGCTACATCAGAAACATTGGTTTTGCTGACTTCCAACGCGGTCGTAGAGACACCGATGATGCAGAACGCAGTGGACGTCCAAATGAGGCAGTAACACCAGAAAACATTAAAAAATCCACAAAATCGTTTCAAATGATCGAAAAGTGAAGTTTTGTACGATAGCTGACATCGTAAAGATATCAAAAGAACGTGTTAGCTTTATATTGCATGAACATTTGACTCTGAGAAAGCTCCGTTCAAAGTGGGTGGCCCGCGAGCTCACTGTTGACCAAAAACAAGTAGGGAAGAATGTTCCACGATCAGACATGTTCCACAATAAGACAAAAGTTTGAGTACTGTTTTAACGAACTTCTAAGGCTGAAAAATTAACTTCAAATTTGATTGTTGTCGTTTTGTTGTTCCCACGTGTGATGGTTTTGGTAACACCATCTTAATGTTTTCCGAGCATACCAAAGAGATGTCTTCTATTTCGGGTTAAATGAAGCTGTTATCATACTTAACGGTCTTTCTCAGGAATTCAACTTCACATTCCTTATTTCTTTTACATAATACTTCAGCTATGTAATAATTTTTTTTTTGTCTATAAATTCTATCAAAATAAAATCGGCAACTTCTGGCTCTTTATTGAGCTTGTCTAGCTTGTCTTTTCTTTTCATGATATTTTTCTTCTTCAAGCTTTTTTTTTCTCTCTCTCTCCAGGGCGATCTTTTCTGGAGTGTCGGTGGCGATAATACCTACACATACATACATACACTTTTTTCAAATTATTTTTCTGGTTAATGATATATGTCCCACTATAGAACCTTATGCACAGCCTTAATTTGTATTAGTGACAATCATATTTTCGTTTGCTCAATAAATAAGGTTAATATTTAGCAAAACCTATTTTGTTTCTGATTGTGGAACACTCTCCCCTACGTCTTCATGATTCTGAGTAGTGTTTGCCCATGTTTGAACATAAAAAATCGAAATTTTTGCATCGATATGCAACAATGGATGAAACATGGATTCATCACTCCACTACGGCATAACAATCGGCTGGAAAGATGACCTCGATATTTTGGGATGTACGTGGTGTAATATTCATCGACTATCTTGAGAAGGGAAATATCATCAACTGAATATTATATAGCGTAACTGGAGTGTTTGAAGGCCGAAATTGGAAAGGAATGACCGCATATGGCAAAGAAAAAAAATGTTTCATCAAGACAACGCACCGTCTCACAAGTCGATCAAAACAATGGCAAAACTACATAAATTGAACTTGGAATTACTCCCACATCCACCGTATTCGCCAGATTTGGCCCCCAGCAACTATAGATTTAAAAAATGCTCACCGGTGAAAAATTTCGCTCGATTGAAGCGGTTATTGCTGATACGAGGCCTATTTGAGGAAAAAGATAAATCGCTCCACTAAAGTGGCATTGAAATGTAAGAGTGGAATGATTGTGTGGCCCTTGATGAAGATTACGTTGATGAATAAAGCAAGTTTTGAACAGAGGAAACGCGTTTTTTTCCTTAGTTCCGAGACTTTTCGGCTTATGTGTTATAAGGAAGATGTAAAATTTCACTTACATCGAACACTGTCATCCTCAATGACGGACTTCCTTTTTTTGGGAGATTTCCACAGATGGGGAATTGGAAAGCCAAAACTTGTCCAAAATGTTTGAATTTTTATGGATGCAATAGTTATAATATATTCCATTCTATGCTAGTTAAATTTTTATCAAAAAGGTATAGTTTTCAACAAACAGAATGCCGTAGCACAGAGAATTCAAATATGATTCAGCTCCACTTATTGGTATTTTCTTTCGTTTCAAACACCCTATGTGAACCGTAAAATAATTGTTCTTCACAGTGGTGTGTTATTTGAATTGTTTGCAGACATATAAATCTTACAAAATAATTGGTTATAATTTTGAATGTGTTTATACTGAGTTTATAGCACTTCATCAAGGTAAAATATAAAATGTAATTATTGAAGAGGTGAAAAAATACCTTGGAACGAGAGTAAAATTAACGAGCAAGACTTTTATCGATACTTCCGGTGTGTAATGTGGATTGGGCAGCTTCGTTGTGATGTACAAGCGGAAACTGTTGTCATATGGCACCACGACGTCTCCTAGTTTCACTACCATGGTTCCGCTCTGGTTGTAGATTTGACGAAGAAGCACCGGATCCAATGCTGGATCCAAATCTGTTCCCACGTTTTCGATCAAAATCGCCTTTCCGAAACGAATGGCAGACTCCATGGTACGCATCAGGTCTCTGTCTGCCAATTTGCAAACAGCCAAGCCCATACTTTTACCCTTAAATGAAAATTCTTTACCAATCGATTGCATACAAAATACTTCACTCGAGAGTTACGTTTATTTAGGACGATATCTTTGAATCTAGACCACATTCCACATTACAATTTCTTAAAAAATGATACACTTTTTAAGACATGGTTTACATATTTATGATCATGCTATCCTGTTTGTTATTATATTAGAAATGAATCCAAAAAAATTTACGGAAATCGAAAAACCGCGAAAACATGCCTAAACAAAACTTTTGATTAATCGAGACTGTTCAAAAAACAAACTTACTCTATTTCACAAACAGCCAAGCTTCCGTCTCTGAGTAGAGACTTCGCCAGGACGCTAAAATGAAATACAATAGAAAAAAAATGGACTATATTTACAAATAATCTGAGTTTTATAATTCAAAATTGAATATTGATGAAAACATTTCAAAAAATTGACGCATTTTCAGATATCTGATATTAGGAATTTCATGTTCAAAGCTTACTCCAATGACAAGAGTGACATTATCATTGAAAAGATTGGTATTGGTGTATACACGAAGAACTTTGGAAAGATTTTCAAGGAACTAGGTATGGAGGTGGTTTTTAAAACAAATCATACACTACAACGCCTTTTAGGTAATCCAAAAGACAAAGTGGTGAATTCGGAAAAGTCTGGAATTTACGAAATTGAATGTAAGTAAGGACTGCGATACAAAATATTATGGACAGACAAAAAGATCTATCAAAATAACATATAGGAACACTTAGCACACCTAAAATAATATGGAAGACCAGAAAAATCATCAGTTGCCCATCATATTTTGCAACAAAACCATTCCATACACTTTAGTTGATTGAGATTAGTTAGACAAGTTAACAACAACATGCATTTAGATGCCTATGAAATTGTAGAAATAAGTACACATAATACTATTTTAGATATTGTTGGTGGACCAATACCTAATAGTATACTATATAGCTTGTTAAAATAATTTTTTATTATTAGATTTATCTATACGTGTTAGGAATCACACGTTAAAAGGTAAGACCTCGTTAATCCTTGGCTCGCACAAGAGTCGACTTCTGAGGGTTGTCGTTCGTAGGGGTGCGACAGCTGGTTTACAGAAAAACAAATTTTGATCAGATTTTTAAACAGACAGATCTGACTATTATATAGACACATTGTAAAATTAATTTGAGACTTTTAAGACGCAGGTACCTAGAAGGATTACATTGTGAGTATTTTTATTCTAATCTTCCTCTTGAAGATGATCACTTGGTGATCGACACACGTGTCGAGGTTTTAAAATAACGGTTTGGTGTTGGGAAAAAACTCCAGTAATATTCATGTCTGAAGATCATCCCTAACATGTCCGAATTCAATAATGCAACTTTTCTAAGGATAGTTGAAAGATGTCCCGTGATCCATGATACCCTATCCGCATGCGGTTGGAATATCTTAAGGACATCAAACCGATTTTCAAAATGGTAACATTTGCCCGTCGCGATTATCCAACTAAGATACTTGTAAACATCACTGAATTATGATATAAAGGTAATTCAGTTCCGAAGAAAAAGGAGCACTATTTCATTGCAAAATGGAAATATTGAAGAAGAAATCTCATAAGTGGAATTTCATAGTTGGCATTTTATTTTTATTTTCCTATCCTTTCAATGTGTCCTACTTTTGAACTACATACATTTCTAAAAAACGATTTCATTTCTGTCTACATTCCATTGTCCAAGTATATTTTCTGTAGCGTTATTTGTAAAATGTCCTTAAAATGAAATGAAATGCTTTATTCAAATAGATTACATCCTAATATACCACAATGATAATACTGTTACCATTGATATACATATAAACACAATAATATAAAAAAAGACTTACTGATATTTGTTACGATAATTGAAAATACAAAAAAAAAATACATAATAATTTGGTATCACCTTAATGGTTTCTTAAATGATCTAATAGATTTCTTTTGAACAGAATAAAACTGTTAGGAGACTACATTTTCAGACAGACTGTTACACTTAATAAATCCTTTAAAAATTAATGTTTTAGTGTTGAACGTTTTTGTTTGATCATTTACATACAAATTGTTTCTTATTCTAGTATTATACTGATGGATTTGATTATTAAAAATTACAAATTTGTCAAAATATGAAGGTAGAAGGTTATGCAACATTTTGTAAACATAAATCATTGTTAAATATGTAGGTGAGCCTACTTTCTATAGATAACCATTCTAGAGATATATGGATACTCCTGTCACAACTTAAAATAATCCTCATTGCGCGATTCTGTAGTTTTTGTAGCGTTCTCATTTTATTTAAATCACTTTTGTATAGAAGAGTGAGACAATATTCGAAATGTGGTTGTATAATGGTCTTATATACAGTTATCCGTGATTGCATAGTTAAGTGTTGGGATACTCTTGTGAAAAAATATAATTTCTTCAAATTTTTTTCTGTGTGTAAGTGAAATGGTTATTCATTGACAGATGCTTGTCCAACATTAATCGTAGATATTTGAATTCAGTAATGAGCTCAATTTTGTCATTATCTATTTTTATTTCAATTTGATTTAAATTTAATTATCTGTACTCAAATAGTGACGTAAGTATTATAGCCTTTGTTTCGTTGACATTCAGCTTCAATTTATTAGTTTTTGAATATGTAGCAATATTATTCAATGCTTCATTCATTTTTTGAATAGCTTCATCTATATCTTTATCACTAACCGATACTAGGACACATTCACAGATTTATTACATTTGCTGATATCATTAATGTAAATTAAGAATTGCAATGGCCCTAAAATACTTCCCTGCGGAACCCCGTGGTCTATGCTTATTGCTGTTGAGACAAACTCATTGATTTTGGTTACCTACTTCCTTCCTGTAAGGTAATCACTGATCCAATCAGGAACTTTTTCTTTAATGCCATGATTTTTTAATTTTTTTTTCAATATTTTACGATCAACCGTTTCCAACGCACGCTTAAGATCTACTGCTACAATGTGCATGTCTTTACTCATTCTATCTTTCCATTCAGTAACTGAAGTGCGGATTCGCAGAATGTCTGGATCTAAAACCAGATTGGTTTGTGAATAGTATGTTTTTTTATTGAAATATTCCAACAGTTGTTGATATATTATTGATTCAAACAGTTTTTCAGCGAAAGGTAAAGTGTTAATTGGCCGATTTTGATCAGATTTGTTTGTGTTTGGAACTTTTTCGATAGGCGTAACTGTACGACAAGAACTTTACTGGATACGTTATTACAATTTGACACTTGAACAATACTAAAACTGTGAACTTCCCTTAACGTTTAACAACACTCTATTTTTTATACCCTAATTGAATGTTCTAGAGATTACTAGGTACAATTTTCGAGAACCTTCCGAGAAAATAATTATTCAGACTACCCTTAATTCTAAACCCTAACCTAAGCAAAAGATAGTCCTAAAAATTTTGTTTTTTGAATATTTATTGGAAATATTACCAAGTGTTGTTAAAATAAACCTAACTGACTATTTTTTTATAATATTGATGCAAAAATAATCTTTCTGAAAAATTGAATGAATTACCATATTTTTGACCCATTTATTAGCTTGTCCCTGAGGATCTATGAAAAGTGGCCATCTTCTCGAGCAAGACACAAGAACAGCATTCTCTGTTGACAGATAATCTCTCGGCAAGCCATCCAGTTGCCATAATCTGATCTGAACGGGCTCCCCTAAAATTGTAACAGGGCTGCAGTTTTCGGTAAATGGTATTTCGTGTGTGGAAATCAGATCCATCCAATCGGCAAAGAGTTTCCTTCGGTAAGAGTCCGTGAAGGGGGTTAGGTATGCAACGCATCCCGAGCAAATAAGAATGTCTCCTGCAATAAGAAACTGCGATTTCAGAGATGAAAAATAAGTGAACATGTGAACAGCAAATGAAAAGACCACAATACTTCTTGAATATTCAAGTAACACTCGAGAAAGATAAATTTTTTCCTGAAAAAAACTTTCATGAATTTTTGGACTCAACAATTAGTCGTTTTTAGTCACCCACTTTTTTGGTATTTCACAAGAAACTGTTTTAAGACCACTTATATTCAATATGCTTGTAAATGACCTGCTTTTACTGAAATCTAATTGAAAAATCCATGATTCTGCTGAGATTCCGTTGACTCGTAGGAGTATATAGCTGAAACTTGGGGATTAATTGACGAATTTTATTATTTCAGAAATATCATGCACTGTTTTTTTTTGTCAAAAAATTACCAACAAGCAATGAACAGTGAGCAGATGCATGAAAACTCCACGAATACACTTTATCGATCGTTCGACCATGTGGCAAGAACTCCTGATGCACTACGCCACAGTAATCGAAGAAAAAAACCTTAACTTGGTGTACTTTTTTTGTTATTGGTTCTCCTGGCACTACAAAATCCTTAAGGCGCTCTTAAAGCAATGCCTGTGCAAAAGTAGTGATTCACGTTTGTTTGAAGGTGGTTCGGAATGTTTCGTGGTGTATTTCATCAGTTCGGACTTCCATTGTCTAATATAATATAAAATGATCCCTGGAAGAATCAGTAAAAAATTAAAAAACTCAACCGAAAAATAACAATTTTATTAAAAAAAAGAGATAAAAAATATTGAAATAATAATACGACCTGACAATTAAAAAATTGAAGAAAAATTATTAACTAGAAATGAAAATTAAAAGATTCCAAACCTAGTTACGTCACGACGTTTCGATTGTTAGTATCCACACTCATCTTCGGGTGATAATTGGACTCATTCCTTCGAGATCTGACTATTTATAGGTCATTCGAGTGATTTCACCTATTCCCTTTTCCCTCTCTCCGCTTCATTGGTTTTAGCGGGAATGACCGTTGGGCGGGAGTTGGCCGTTTTCCAGCTTGTAGAGGTTTCCATATGTTACGTATCTCTACGCTAGCTTGGCTAGATGCGTTCTTGGACAACATATACGCGGCTTCTTTGAATTTTCTCCTAAACCAATGTTTCTCCTTGTGGATGATTTCAACTTGAGTCCACTTGATGTTACATTGATGAGTCCAAACATGCTCTGCTATTCCAGATTGGCTGGTTTCTCCTTGCTGTTTGTGTTTCTTGTGCTCAGCAATGCGAACTTTTAATGACCTCTTAGTTTCACCGATGTGTTCCCAGATCTGAAGCAGGTCCTAGTGTTATACTTGGACCCAATCCTTCTCATCCTTTCCGATAATTCTCTGATGTAGGGAGGAACAACTACTCCTTATGGCCTCCACAAGGAAGAGAAACCGCCACAATCAGTACTTGTACTTCCCTACATCAAAGGATTATCGGAAAGGATGAGAAGGATTGGGTTCAAGTATAACATCAGGACTTGCCTTAGATCTGGGTACACTATCCGAAGCAGCCTCACGAAAATCAGGCCACCAAACGCGGACTGCGATTCCAAGAATTGCATTTATTGGATACCTTGCCAGTGCGGAGAATCATAAATAGGTGAAACTAAGAGGCCATTGAGAGTTTGCATTGCTGAGCACAAGCGAAGAGAAACCAGCAGATCCCGTATAAGCAGAGCACGTTTGGACTCATCAACATAACATCAAGTGGGCTCAAGCTGAAATCATCCACAAGGAGGAACACTGGTTGAGGAGAAAATTCAAAGAAGCACCGTATATGTTGTCCAACAACGCATTCACCCAAGCTAGCGTAGAGATACGTGACATATGGAAACCTCTTATCAAGCGAAAAACGACCAACTCCCGGCAAACGGTCATCTCTCGCTAAAACTAATGAAGCAGAGAGAGGGAAGAGCGATCGGCTACCGTCCGTCAATTCAAATAAAAATGTTTTCCTTCAGTTAAAAATATATATTCTATCTCAGTAACTGGCATTTCACTGCCAGTCACAGTTCTTGGATCTGTGAGGAATTGGTTGAAACAGACATACCGAGGTAATTGCAATGCCGGCCTGCTCGTTCACCGGATATAATACTCCTCTAGTTTTTTTTCCTTTAGGGCTATATCAAATCGAAAGTTTATGTTATTTTGAATCACATAGAGCGTGATGTTCAGCAGACATTTTTCAAATCGTAATCCAAAGCAAATTTTAATTCAAATAATAAATTTTTCCGTCAGTTTTAGCGTTAAAAATTATATATTCTATCTCAGTAACTGGCTTTTCGATTCCAATCATATCTTATATCAATTTATAGTTCAATATTTTTTTCCGGAATGAAGTGATACAATCTCAATTGCAAATTGGAAAATTATATCTCATTAAAATCTTTGACTGCTTCAATTATTCACTTTCTCACATCCTGTTATAACGATGTAATTGTGACATGAAATGCCGTCGCGTTGTTCCTTCATTATCGGCTATTTACAAACTGGAATTCAATCGTAAAATTAATGTTTTTCATCATCATCAATTTTGACTCGAATTCCACGTTGATTGGATATCATGAAATTAAATTTTGTTGACGGAAATCGTTCAGAAAAAAGATGTATTCTATGCATAAACAGTCATCTCTGATATCATATTTTTTGTAAACTTTTTTCATTAAACTACAGGGAATTCCTGAACGTTTTTTGTTTGAAGGAAATATATATAAAATCAAGAAAGGTTAATGCAGTCAAGCTGGAAAATAATTTCATGAATATATATATGAGTATGAATACATAAATATATGAATACATATATCTGTATCTCAATTGATAGGGATGGATGTTCCCATTTACCTGGGTTGCTGTCACTGCCTGTGTTTGCTAGACTACCTGTTTTGGCTCTATTACCTGATTTGCCTGTCCAGCCTGTTATTCTACCTGTACTGTCATGTGCTGAGTTTTTCTTCTGGGGTTGAACGGTCTGTTTACTTCTGTGAAGCGATAAAACGGATCTCCATGTTGATGGTAATCTTTCCGCATCATTCCTCTTGTTCATATTACTGGGGCGATTTTCAATTTCAATAGCCTTTCTGATTGTTCGAGAGTAGAAGTTCTCATTGCTTGCTAGTATTTTTGTGTTATCGAAGTTGATGTTGTGTCCTGTCGCCAATACGTGTTGAAAGAGAGGAGTGTGGTGACATTTCCCTCCACTGCTAGTTTGTTTTCATCTTTGCATATGTAGACATTTGGTCTACATACGCAAAGTATGTTGGTCTGGCCGATGCAAGTCTTGTCACAATCTTAGCGTGGTACTTCATACACTTCTAGGGACTCCAGTGGTATCTGATCTTCAAGATCATCGAGCATGGACCTTAGTGTCCGTTCTTGTACGAATGAAGTTGCTATGTTGTATTGGCAGAAAATTCTGCTGATTTTGTCTGTTGTTCCTGCAATATATATGGTAGTGTGGTTGTTACGACCGGTGTATCTCGATTTTTCTGCTCTTTCCGTGTGGTCTCTGCTCTTATTATTTTCTCCGAATTTCATTCGTACAGTCTCGATGGTTTTCAACTCTTTTTGTCTGTGATTATAATCTGCCAGCCTCCACGAACGTATAATCGGTGTTTTTACCACCGAGTGAATTTGTTATGGGTGGTAGTGGGAATTCGCGTTAAGGTACCTATTCGTGTGTGTTGGTTTTCGATATACCTCGTGGCCCAGTATACCGTTCGGCTTTTTCATAATCAACACATCGAGAGACAGATTTACTGAAGTTTGTGCTAGCTAGCATTACTACAGAAACATTTTACAATGTTAGGAATTAGTTCCAAAATGGACTGTTTTACTGTCAGGGGGTTCGAAAAGAATATCTTGAACATATCAACGACTCATTGAAAAAATTCTCTATACTTATCTCGTCATTTCATTTGGATTCTTGAACATCAGCTGCGGATGCACATCTTTACCGGCAACAGGAGGTTGCATATCTTAATGAGGATCTAGAGGTGTTTTTGGATTGGTGTGAAAGTGAACAGGTTCAATTCATTGCCACGAAAACCCAGGCATCGGTTTTCTCCAAAAAGATAAATGTCTCCGAACTGGATATAATAATGTCAGTACGGACAATTCCGCTTTTTGCTTCGATAAGTTTGTTGGGGAGTTGAAATGGACATCAATATGGGCTAAATTTTATTTCATGAGATATTCACGGATTTTCGCGATTTTTTCTGGGATGATACTAAATGATAGTAGGAATTCAGAACAATTTTTATTTTTTGTCGGACTCAATTAGTTTTTGAGATATAGCCTGCCAAAGTTTGTATGACGTCTGCCGAGTTTCCTGAAATTAGAATGAAATTCCATAATATGTCAGGTGCACAAATCATTTTTCATAAATTGCCTTAAGTTTCACTATTCGAAAATACAAATTCGGAGGTCAGGTTAGATGTTGAGGGAAGATAGTTCTTACAAAAGTAAATATTCGAAAATACATTCCTTTCAGAGTTTGGAGGTCAGGTTAAATGTTGAGGATACATAGTTTTTCAAAATTCTAAAGTAAGGTTAGACTGTGTTAGGTTAGGTCGGGTTAGGTTAGGTTAGGTTAGGATACGTTGAGTTAGCATGTGGCAAATTATGGAATTTCAGTCTAATTTCAAGAAACTTGGCAATTAGTTAGTGAAAAGAGTTAGAAAAAAGTGTGATGATATGGAAAAAGACGTGTTGAATAAAAAAATATGTGAATTGCAATTGTTTATTACTTAGAAAAAGGTAAAATATAACATCATACAAACTTTGACAGGCTATATCTCGAAAACTAATTGAGTCCGACAAAGAATGAAAAGTGTTCTGAATTCCTACCATCACGCAGTATCATCCCAGAAAAAATTTTCCCTAAATATGTCTTGGCACAATCATGTCGCTGTATTTGCAAAGACTGCTCCTCAGAAGCTTGAAAAACTGTTCCGAACCAGAAAACTGTACACACCTCAGCAACTTTTGATGAATTATAAAGCTCAGATCATATTTTCTTTGAAGTATCGTTCTCATGTATGGAGCTCCGCCCCTAAGCATACCCTGAAGCTGCTGAATTCTATCCAGAAAAGAGCCATCCGCCTGATTGGAGACGCGAACATCACTTGCAACTTTAATAGTCTGGAACATCGAAGAAATGTTGGAGATTTCTCTCTTCTGTAGATATTTTAACGGAAAGTGTTGAAGTGACTTGGCACATTTGATTCCACCAAGAGCGGTACATATCAGAAATACGCGACGGACTGTGGCTGCTCATCATTTTGAGGTTCAACTCAGTACACCTTGAACTCCACTGTTCAAGAACTCTTTCATTTGGAGAACAGCGTTCATTTGAAATGAACTTCTTGAGAACGTTTTTCCAGATGAATTCAATCTTCAGTGATTTAAACCCAAAGTAAATCGCTAGTTTTGCACAAACACCGCCCTTAGAGAGTCTTAAGGATTGTTCTGTGGTGCTTGTGTTTTGTCCTTTAAAAAATTGTTCGAATGATTTTTTCATGCACAAGAAATGAAATCATATCATTATACACTCTTGAAATTAATTCTTAGTTATCTATTGCAAAAGACGTTAATAATTTTTTCTCAATGAACATCAGTTAAAAAAAATATGGCATGGTGGCGGAGTTACGGAATTCCGAGTGCTCAAATTAAACATCGGTATCTCTGCAAACGTAATGTAGATTTATAAAGAATTGAAATACCTATCATTCAAAAAAAAATTCGAAACCCGCCTAATAGCAGCAAGTGATGTGACATTACCTGTCACATTAACGACGCTCCCTTCTATATTCTTGATAGTTTCAATCCACCTCACTCTCTCATCAGAAAGACCGCTGATGAGACGTATCGCCCTGTTCATTCTCTCTTCACAAATTGCTATACTTTGCTCTTTCTCCTCTTTGAACACTATTTTGGCCGCCAGCTGCATTTGAAGTTTCTCCAGCCCATCCAAGACTTCTTTCATTTTGGCTTTAGCTTCGGCGAGGACTTTTTCTGTATGTGCAAGTTCTTCTTTTGCTTTCGCTAGAGCAGCTTTCTTTGGAGCGACTGCCTTGTTGACAAAATAGTATTTGTACATAGCGTGGATCCACATACATAGTGATGTACAAGCTTTGGATACCTGGAAGGATCATTATTTAGATTATTCTCATTCCAACATCATTTTTTTCAATACAAATTTCTCATATTCATCACTTTTGCTGTTCTGAATCGTTTTTCAATGTTGAAACAATGTTTCATAATTGTAATTCAATATCCAGCGAGGAAGTAGTTGTTTTCCGGCAGACTTTCAGCAGAACAAGCGATATAGGTAGTTGGGAGGGATGAATATTTAGAGATTTTTTTCGAAATATTCATTTTCTTACATTATCAAAGAGTAATTAGTAATCAGTGACAGTGCCAATGGTTCATAAATAACACAACGTCTTGTGAAGAAAGACATTACTGATATCTAAAGGGCATTCTTCAGTGGACTGAATATCGAGTTTAGTTATTTTAAACGGTAATTTAGTCTCAGTATTCAATACGGAAACAACTCCTTGAATATTTTAGTGTTTTTGGAAACTTCCCATGGCATCATTTCTCTTTAGAAAAATAAAGAATGACCCTTTTTAATATTTGAAGACAAATTCCAAAATTATCATGTGGAAAAATTTGAACGTGTTTATTAGATACTTTTGAAATTTTTGCAGGTGTGAAAGCTGGATCATCCACATATCTCTGTAATTTGTCTATCATATCTTCGGTAATAGAATCCTTATCAAAATTCATCAGAGACGTCAAGAAAACTCCTGGATCCGTAAGCATAGTTCGACTGGGTTCCCAATAGTCCAGTAGCTTTTCCCCAGGTCTTATTCCAGGTACCTGCAACAAAAAGGGATGCTTTGTATCTGCATATGTATTGAAATGAAATCATGATTCAATTGAGTTCGTGAATTTTTGAATTTGAATTGATATTTTGTTACAAAGGGAAATAATGGGAGATATTTCTAAATCAACATATGAAAGATCTTTATGAACTATTGTCGTCAAAATTGTATAATTTGGTGATAGAAATGATTGGGTCGAAATTATTGCAGAAGCATATTGTCAGATCATTCCTCATTGGTTATTTCGCATCTGAGGGGGTAACTGCCCTGGAGAGAGCAGTAACTCTCTTTATCTTGCTCCAGAGCACATTCAGCGAACACACGTCGTTGTCTGTGGTTTATTTTCAGTTCCTGGATCAGTTGAATTTTGTACGGCTGCAGGCACACGTAACCATGCCAAAATCGACTGCCTTGGATTCTCCTGCACACTATCACAGACAGCGATGTTTTCGGTAGATCTTGCGTTTTGTCTACGTACGAGTGTTGGTGAATCGTTTATTGAACCAATGAAGACAAATTTATCTACGACATTGCGTTAGGACGATTACAGCTAACGTACAGTGGACGAAGCGCACGGTACATTGTCCGAACAAAACATCCATTTTGATAAAACAATTCAACTTCAACAAGATGGCCATTATCAATTGGCAAAGTTCGGAAGTCCTGTTGGAATACTCTACATAGACGATTTCAATACTGTAAATTTTTATCTTCCCTGCTTCCTAAATTCCTTGCCTAAGTAACAATATATTCTGGCGATATCTTGAATTTATTGGAGTTTCTGGAGACACCCTACATTTTATTCTATGAAAGAGAGGACATTGGCAGATCAAGATTTTCAAATGATGTGCTGCTGCAGGTTTTTCTGGGTTTTCCTGCAGCTGAAAAAGCAAATGCGCCACTGGACCCAATACAGTCGCACCGGTGCGCCAATTAATTTTTGTTATTGTTTCATAATTTCGTAAACTTTAATAAGTAACAATGGTTGATAACTTATCGTATACTGAAAATCGGTTTCTGTGTTTGATGTTACTCCTGTACCCTATACATTCGTTTCAATAAAATAACCTGCAGAACAAATTGTCTGAGAGAGCTTTTTTCCTCAAACATGATCTAAAAATTGGTTACTTCTTAGGTATGTATCATAATGATATTAATTCAAGTTATTTGTGTTCTATGAACATCAATTGTTTAACTGTTTTGATCGATTTGGAAATATAATTTGAAAGCACCTTATTTGGTTTCACATTCTTGACAATACATATTGCCTCCATCACGAAAATGACTCCAGCAGGAGGACGTTTCATCGACCTTACTTCCGTTATATCATTTTTGTTTAGAGACTTCAGACTAGCTTCAGCTTCCAACAAAGCTGGCAAAGCCTCATCTGAAACAAAACAAAAATTACAGTTTTTATTTTATGCATTACGACTATTGATTTTCTCTTGTGGTTTCTGAAAAGTTGAGAATTTTTCACATTAGAAATTCACTCTTTTTCAAAAATTACAATTTCGTTGATATATATGATACTGTTAACAACTACGAACCTAAATCCCGTTGAGCGTCTTCTGCGATAGTTTGTGTTTCAACAGCTTTCTTTGCTGCTTCGAATTCTTCTCTTTCAACGATGACTTTTGTTTCTTCTGCTATTACCTGAAAAAGGGTATATAATTTCATGAAACAATCATTCTTTTTTTTTTATAACACAACAATTAACACACATATTTTTGTTATACTTCTTAAGTTATACTTCTTTCGGCGTGTTAGGGAAAAATAATGAGTGTTAATTTCAACGATACGCGCGCACACCGTCACGAAAAACTGACACCCTGAAGTTAGCTTCTTCTTCTTCTTCAATCAATATAGCCGTTGCTTTTCAGTCGAGCGCATTTGGCCAGATTCCTCCTGTCCATAGTGAGCAAAATCTTCGTTCGGGCACAGCTGTGTTGATTGAGGCAATGCTGCCACCCTGAGTTTTCTCATTCATTTCTTATTTCATACTAGGGGGCCGCCAATCCTTTCAATGTGACTTTCACAAATAACACGTCTATTATCGCACTGACGACCTCGTCGAATCCGTCGACATCCAGCCTGGTTACTGGCGCAGGGGGGCACCAGACCTCTCAAAATACCTTTCACTTCAATAATTATTCGAAGTTGACTTTATTTTTTTTAATTACCTCATTTCTAAACTCCCCTCGGACCACGACATCCACGTGCCATCTTTGATGACGGTCGTTATCGGCTCAACCGTCCTCTGTCACGATCGGAGAGGAAGTCCCTAAAGTTAACTAGTTAACAAACATTTTTGTTTTTCAAAAAATTTACCAATATATTGAAAGTAAAGACATCTATGTATGTTTACGTGAGAACTGGCAACTCTGTTTTTGAACCTATAACACGTGCTTTGTATCAGTCTGAATGAAAAATATATGAAAAATAAATATACATAAATATATATTTTTTCAATAAATTGATTGATGTAGCCGTTATTACTACGTAGTAGGAGATCATCATGAATAATGAGAAATGAAATGTTCTATGTTTTTTACCACTTTTACTTGTACCTATCGTTACTGCAGTTACGTCCTATATGGACATCTTAAAAATATTACAAAATATAAAATAGTTATTTTGAAAATGTCCATATAGAACGTAACACCGGTAACGATAGTTACAAATGAAAGTGGTTATAAAATAATGACAAAAAACTTCTGAAACAAGCTTTCATTCAAGTGCCCTAAAAAGATCAAAATAAAATTTCAAATCACATCAACCCCATTCATTTATGACTTTACGGAATTGAAATTATTATAAAAGCTTGTCGCGATGCCTAGAAGAAATTTCTACATATTCAGTCAGATGAAATTTAAATTAAGAAACATTCTGACAGATCAACTAGGTACTGCAATAAATTTCAAACCCGATAAATCCTATGTGTGTAAAATAGTTATTCATGGTTGAAGTTCCACATTTTAAGCATTCACGGCACTTTTTTTTAATTACAAACATACATAAGAATTGCTTACAAGTTTAATAGGTGCGTACCTAATTACAAAATTTCAATTACAAATGGAAATTATCGCGACAAGCTTCTATTATAATTTCAATTTTGTAAAGTCATAAATGAATGTGGTTAATGTGATTTAAAATTTTATTTTGATCTTTTTAGGGCACTTGAATGAAAGCTTGTTTTTAAAGTTTTTTATCATTATTTTATTTTACAATTTTTAGTTTCAATCGATAGTTATCGATCAATACGAAAGTCCATCCATAAAATGGAGAGTCCTTCTACAGAAAAAGTTAAGGAACGGGGAAAACTATTATTAGGATAAACTATATTCTATAGAAATAGGTAGTTACCTACTCCTCCGGCATACCTTATAGAAGAATTAGCTTATTATAGTTCTTAGTCTATTCATTTCATTGATGGCGTCATTATTACATGACCGAATCCCCGTTAATTTCGAACAGTCTAATTCTTCTATCAGGAGGCCTTTGGCGTTTCAAGTTAACGCTTTCATTGGCAAGTTTTTCATTTCGTTTCAATTTCTCTTTCTCTTACCTTCTTTTCCTTTGTGTTGATGTTTCTTTATTTCCCATAGTATTCCCACGAGTACCGAATCTATCAGGAGGCCTTTGGCGTTTCAAGTTAATGCTTTCATTGGCAATTTTTTCATTTCGTTTCAATTTCTCTTTCTCTTACCTTCTTTTCCTTTGTGTTAATGTTTCATTATTTCCCATAGTGTTCTCACGAGTACCGAAGAAATATTTGTCAACCCTCCCAGAGCTTCGTTTAGCAGGGTTAGAGCTAATATACAACAGGGTGCGCTCCGGTGCACCCTGTGATGTCGTTCACGATATCATTTTATACCCTGATGACACTCAGTCCTCGACACGGCCTCACCTTGACTTGGGTGGTAATTTGGTGGAAGATGCGCCAATTTTTTCAGCGTAGAGCTTATTCGTGCCTGACGAAACACCATTCCGGGTTTGATTTTGGAGTTTTCCTTCTCCTAGATTGGTTGCAGACCAATACTAATGACGCCCATCTCACCAGATTACACAAGTCATGGTATGCCTCTTGTTCCTGTTGCTCACATTGCGTGATGGACCCGCTTACTCTGGGAACTTAGAGGGTTTTACAATGCAAATAAATACGGGTTCTCACAACTTACTACACAATGTATTGTCTTCTTCTTAGAGTCGGGAAGTAGGTATTTAAAGGAAAAAGCTTGATTTGATTTTTTTTCTAAAAATATATTTTTTCATTGAAGTCGACCCTGGATGTGGCATTTGTTCCATGGTGGGCCTACCAACTGCCTATCATGAATGGATGCGTATACAAAATTTCGTGTCCCTGCTATTTACCGCTGAGGATATCTCTCGTACGGAGCCGATCCTGGCAGCAGCATCAGGTCACGTTTATGATTAATATGCATTGTCATCGATTCTGGACCAGCATGCAAAATTTCAGGTCAATCGGATATCGGAAATAGGGTCAAATTAAACTTGCAAGATTTGTTAACATACATACAAATCAAGTTAAATAAAAGCTTTTAAAAAGCAAAGACAGTTTGATCTCTCATTTCTCATATATTTTTTCCTATAACATATCGTGGTGACTGATATTTATCAACTATTCATTGATTTATAGATAATTTGCTGTGAATATAATTGATGAAAGTGGTTTTTACATATTACTTTGAGTACGTTTGTAGAATTTGAGGTTAGTTGACGGTACGTATTATTTACTTAGGTACTTCTTTTTAAAGTAATCGTAAAATTTTATATAATGGAATTTATCGTCAGGTTGTCCTTTACACAGTGAACATGATGATAGTATCAAAATGAATGTACATCAATATTTGTATTACATGAATGAACTTAGATGAATGATGAAATAAATCACGGCGAGAAATAATAAAAAAAAATGAAGTATAACATCTTACGTCCTCACATAAGTACACACACCCTTTTTTTTATAAATATTATTATTTGGATATCAATTGATGTGTCTCAAGTTATTGTTATTTTTGATCATCCACTGTATAACCATGTATATTCCTCAGATTCATCCTTCATATCATGAGCTAATTTACAAACTTACTGTATCAGAAGCTATTTTTTTTATCATTATATCAGCATCTCGAGCAGCAATCTCCAGAGCTGGTTTCATTTCTTCCAGTTGTATTTGCAATATTTTCACCTCTTCCGAAGTACTCTGTAGTTTTCCTAGTCCTGAAATACAAATAAACCCCTGGTGATATATGAATCACTCAATTGCTCTCATAAGCAATAAAAAATTATTGAAAACAGAAGTATCACAGGTTGAGAAAACTTTAATGGGAGAAAATTTGAAAACGACCGTTCTTCAATCCAATTTCATTTTAACCTTGTGTCTTATAAATGAAATAATACTTTATAATTGAAGAGAAGTTCAGAAATGTCTTTTTTTCCTTATGAAAATGTAATTTCTACATACATTGACATATCTCTGAAGGGTAAAGGTGGATTCATCAGAAAACTACATGGTAATTCGTTGTGGACTTCCTTCTCTATTGTGAAGGTGATGGAAGGTATTACGCTGTTGCTGTGCTTCAGAAAAGTGTCTAGTTCTGTATTTCCATGGTTCCATATTCCAGACTCGGGGCTTCTTGTGAGCTTCTTCAATGGCCGGAGTTTCAAACCACTCCATATATATGTTGGCTGTAACAGGTGGAAGTGGCGTTCATATTGACAGTCCCTCATCTTGCGTAAAGAATTCGTCCTTCAGTTGGAAATAGCAGTTCCGTACACAAAATCCTAGTAATTCCATGATTACTTCCATCGGTAAGTTCGTTCTATCTTCCAGGAGGTCCCCGTTTTCGTATAGCTTTCTCTATAGGGTTTGGAGTGCTTCTTCGACAGGAACGTCAAACGAAACGTCGAACGAAAACCAGGCTATTACACGCGGGCTGCGATTTCAAGAATTACATTTACTGGATATCCTGTGAGAGCAATGAAACTAAGAGGCTATTGAAAATTCGAATTACCGAGCACAAGAAACACACACAGCGAGAAGAAACCAGAAAAGAACACTGGGTTACGGGAAAGTTCAAAGAAGCGGCATATATTTTGTCCAACGACTCATTCAGCCTAGCTAGCGTAGATATACTCAACATGTGGAAACTCATAATTGAGCGGAAAACTCCCGCTAAAACGGTGAAGCTGAGTGAAGGAAGAGGGGATAGAAGAAAACACTCGACTGGCCTTTAAATAGTCATTTCTCGAAGGAATAGTCCAGTCATCAACCGAAGATGATTGCGGATACTAACATTTTTTTTTTATTTCTAGTTAATTTTACTTGTTCAATTTTGAATTTTTTGCTCAATTTTTATTTTATTGTCATCTCATTTCTGGATTTTGTTTTGCTTGATATAATTGTTGTTTTCAGTTATTCATTTTAATTTTCAATTTCATTTGTTCTTTCAAGGATTTCAAATTCATATTATATCATATTAGAATGGAATTTCGAACTGAATGCTTTCACTTCCGATGTTGGTGATAATCAGTGGCATTTTTTTTATAGAAGGTGACTTCAATCTGGCTGATCAGCCTTCTAAAAAATGCTTGACGACAACTTGTTATGTTTTTGTCTTGCCACAGTATATCCTTCGTCAAGCCAAGTTTCGTCCACAAAATAAGTCTTCTATTTTTCACGTCAAATATCTTTTATTTACCGTAGCTAATGTCCCCTCCAGGAAATGATGTCATCATTTTCGAAAAAGCGTGTTTTTTCTTTTGTTTTTTCCAACTGACATTCAATTCCTCCAAAGTTTGGTCTTCTTCCCATTATTTTGTCAAGGGTCGGTATTTATTTCTTGAAATTAAATGACTGTTCTGTTTTTCTGTTTATATTTTTTACCATATGAGAGCCTCATGAACATTGAAAATGATGATATTGTCGTTAACAAAAAAACACATTTTCTCATTAATTGTACTGGATAGAAAACTAAAGTAGCCATTTTAATTCACACACTAAGTATAGTTTGATAATAACAACACTCTATCTATATATGAAACTATCCTAGGAAAAACAGTTTTTCCGTCTGAATAAATTAATACATTTTTTATCAGCTCACCAGTCTTAAGGCGACCAACTCCTTCAGTAAGAGATCCTTTCTTCTTATTCATCAGTTCAGTGTAACTTGATAAAAGCTCCAGATAGGAAGTTGGAGTCACGTAGTTATAGCGGGAAAGCTCTTGTTTGTATCTTTCGCTTGCTTCGACTACACTTGCGTGCATATACTGGAACACAATAACGATACCCTGGAGAACTTTCTCGGAAACCTCCAAGTTCTCTACGTCTTTCAAGAAACGGAACGCCACTGACTGAAATTCAATTCGAATATGATTATTACTACTGCTGCGAATAAAAAACAAATCATCAGTTGAGAAGTGCCTATTGATACATTGAAACAAAACAATGTATTGGGTATTTGACTCTGGTTTTATAATATTATATTTCTATTGCCTCTCTAAATACTCTTAGATAGTAATTTTGACTTTCAACAAGTATTACTGTATCTTCGAATGAGATTATGTGAGTGCTTTTTTTTGTATAGAGCATGTTCGGCTACAGCTGATTTGTCGATTTATCCGAGTCGACAACTTCTTTTGTGTTCAGAAAGACGGGTAACCACACTTCTTTTCGTGGCTCCAATATAGACTGACCGGCAGCAACAAGGGATCAGGTATACCCCGGGTGTTGCTGGAGGTTATCTGGGTTCCTTAGCTGACCTTTTTTTTTGGTACCTTATGAGCTGTCTGACTCGTCCATTTAGTCCAAGTCTCCAGAAAACACTGCAGTCTTTTGGGTTCTCCCATCTTCTCATGACACCCATTCCATCAGTCTCGTTCCCTGTACTAGTTTGTACAGGTTCCGTGTTGGATGTTCGTCATATTCTCCTGGACGTAATTTCGTACGTTCATATATTGCCTGCCTCCTGTGATTCAGTGCCTCACATTCGCATAAGATGTGTAGAGCTGTTTCAATTTCTTCGTTGCATAATCTGCAGCTGAGGGCTCCGTTATACAGGCCCATTTTATTCAGGTGTCCTCTAAACGGACAATGACCGGTAACCCTGTAATCATTCTGAGCCGATCCCTACTATATTGAAGGTTCTACTGTGTTTGTTGCCAGGTACTTTTGTCTAGTACTCTGTGTGCTTCATATTGGCCCATGTTCTAATCTAGTTTTGTATCAATGATTTTGGTACCCCCAGAGCTGGTTCAGGACCTATATATGAAGTTGATGATCCGCGTCTAGCGCATTTATCGGCTTTATTATAACCTGTTATTCCTGAATGCCCTGGCACCCAGTACAAAGTTGATTTGTTTCTGTTTGCAAGTTCATTCAGTTCTTCATGGCAGACTCCCAGACCAGTTTTGATGTCATCTTCGTGTTTGTCAGAGCCCCTAGTGCGCTCTTGCTGTCTGTAAAAATATTGATCCGCTCACTTCTTTGACGTCTCAATTCAATAAGCCTTGCACACTGCCAGAGAGCATGCACTTCCGCCTGAAAGACGGATGTGTATAGTCCTAGCGGATAGATGTAGTTTAAATTTCTATCCGCTCGATATATTCCAGCTCCCGGTCCATGTTTGGTCTTCGATCCTTCTGTATACCAGGTGTTTTTTCCAAACATGTTTTCGGGATGACTAATGGTCTTCTACTCTTCACGGCTCATGATTTTGGCCGTGAAGTTTGTGTTAAAGGTGTACTTCGGTGTCATGTGGTCCGTGAACATATTCAATATGTGCTCCTCCACTTGTTCCGAAATTTCTGTTCGTTCCGATATTTTGTAGTTCGGTAAGCTTTCCAGTATGAATTGGCCCATCCTAGCCTCCCCCATTATCACAAAGTGTAAAGGAGGTAGATTCAGCTGTTGGGGTAGATCTCATTGCTCCCGTCATTCCCAAACATGCAAGTCTTTGCACCTTGCCTAGTTTGATGATGGCGGTCGCTTGCTTCATCTTTGGCCATCTTTATATTCAAATAAACCAATCATAATATGTAATGTATTATTCAGTTACTTTCCTTACCACTTATAGCTGTTCATATTACAGATGAGATACTTTGGATTCAAGTAACTAAATACATCCAAGTTTATAAAGGACAGTTTATAAACAGAAGCATAAGTTCAAGTTTGATGAAGTAAATGAGTTAATATGTCACACTTTTTTGAGCCACCCTATAGACTTCAAAATAATTTCCTTCTGCACCCTTGAACAATATACATATAATACAATGGAGAAATTATCTATAAAGTTATTGATTTGGTTCACAGGGACCGTGTCGTATAGGAGCTCCACCCTGAATAGAGAGGCAATAGAAATTCAAAAACACAGGAATTATTTCAATAGAAAAGAAGATGCAATAAACAATAATGAAACCTGGCCACCTTTCCTTAAACGTACACAAACAAGTCACGCCCACTAATAATAATATTAAACCAGAGTCAAATACCACCACCGTAGTTAATGCAGTTGGAACGACGGTAACAACAATTCGGGCACTGCGACCGTTACCACATCGCCTTTGATAATATCCACCGCAGTAGTAGACGAAATGTCAGGCATTAAAACCTGGAGACCATGGCCGAAAAAACCGAAAAATAGCTTTCACACAGTTATCTCCGGTCGTCAAAGTTAACATTCTCTAAAACATATCTAGCTGACCTCAATATGAAATTATAAAAATTGCTTCGATAGACAAAAATTTGTTCATATGGGAGACTCAACATCTTCACTGGTATCGGGTATTGACGAAATCTCAACAAGATTTCGTCACATTCCAGCGGACTCTTCGTATTATAGGTATCTAGAAAATTTAATTTTAGTTTGATGTACTCACCTGGAGAGCTGAATCAGGCCAAGGGCTAAACCAATCAATAGTGCAGCAATTGACAAGAGCCGGAAACTGTCGTAAGCGAGCTCTGAATATTTCTCCGATGGGACTTGAACGAAAAAGTGTATCAAATTATGAAATGTAAAACATTTTCGTTATTATATAAGGTGGTCGAAATCATGATGTCAAGAAACGTAAATTAGATTTCTAGAATTGAGAAATGAACGAAAATACCTCATGAATATTATCCGCTTTTTTATAGTTTCTGAGTTATAACTTTTTTGATGTACTTTCTAATAAATATTTGGCCGATTCAAAAGTAGCCTCGTTTGACGAAAATATTTTATTTTCGATCTGCAGTATTAAGATTCTAACAACACAACTCTCACGCCAGCACCTGTAGAAAGACTGTTCTTCATTGTGCCGGAAACTAAGTTGTCAAAAATGCGAACCTCGAAATTGCTTATTGGTTTAACGGTGAGGTCGTCTTCAAAAATGAAAAGCAGACAAACGATAAGTAATACACCAAAAAAGCATGAATTCCCAAATATTCAAAAGGAGCTGCCTGTGTTATCAGTCAATACTAATTCATGAATACATTTTTGATGAATGCATTCAAACCTTCTCAGGCAATTAATCAGAGGAAATTTGGTTATTCATCGTCCAACAATATATACAGGGTGGAGCACCGAAAACTAAACAGATCGAATATTTTCAAAACATGTTTTCTGGAAAAAATGCAGAAACACGTCGATTTGTAAACCAAGAGGGACATCTTTCTATCATAACCTCAACTGTCATACGTCTTCCCCTACCTCAAGGTCACTATCACCCAAACAATTTGAATAGGGAAAGTTGTAAGTGTGACATCATCGAAAAGGTTATTTCATGTGTTATCCGGCCATGTCAATTTTCGCTACCTAACTTTCTATTTTGACGCCCTCTTGCGGGAGAAAAAACGGTTCCGTATTCCAAATTAGGACACTTTATTTGCAAACTAATTTGGTGACAATGCATTATGAAATTTCCCTAAGGGAAAAAATGAAATGGCGGTTCCACAATGGCGAACACGATTTGCAAGTCCAACAAGACGGACGGAATTTATAATTATGGTCTGATCCGAATCGAAATTAATAGATGGGGATTCTGTATCTGTAGAGCAGGGAGGGTGAGTGTAAGCCCACAGCACTCAGGCCACATGTGACTCATTGTACATCCTCCCGAGGAGTCGTCCTTCAAGGTCATCGTCCATCCTGTCCTGTCCAGGAAAGTGAACAGGTCACTGGGAAGCATCTCCTTTATATCGACAGGTGTAGGCTAAGACTCGCCGAACACACACTCTCTTATTGACGATAACTCCGAGTACTCGCATACGGTATGTCTGACAGTCTCATCTTCATGTTTCCACATTCTACATAAAAGTGAGTTCACTAGCCCTATATTATGGAGGTGTTTCCTTAATTGACAGTGGCCAGTCGAAAGTCTTACTGTTAAGCGTAGATTTTTCCTGGTCATCGCCAGATATTTCTTTGGCGTCAGCTTCCCAGGGTCACCCAGGGTGACCCTGGCAAGATTGCATCCTTTGATTCCATCCTATCTCAGGAATTGAGCATGGGTGTGACATTTGGCTAGTTCCGCAATTGTCGAAGTCATCAGGCCATAGGTGCCACTGGGTCCTAAAATTCTTAGTCCAGCTGCTTCCTTGTGGAAATGCGATTACCTTTACTCCTGTCGTGCTCTTTAATCCACCTCAGTACTCCTCAATATACGGAGTATATTTGGATATCCTTTGATGCCAGATTTTTCTACCATTGAACACTCTGTATAAGTAGGTATTTCTGATTCACAGTGTACCATGAAGTATATAAAATGAGAACCTTCTGTGTGAATGAACCGATTGAAATATTTCATTTCATTAGGTAGTTTCAGAAGTTTTGCCCGTTTGCAGGAATCAACTTCTTCAATATCTTACAGGATACTTATTCAATCAAAACAAAACAAGCGCAATTTAAATCAATGCACTTTTGTCAACATAACACAAGTCGATTGATTCTGTCAGCATAAAAATTGTGTGATAAACAGTGAATCCCTACGTCAACAGAAGACGTTCAGGTCCGTGGTTGGACACCGATGAGCCACTCAGGTACTTCTTAATGACAAAAACACATCAAAAGAAGAACATCGTTACTGTATGGTCGTCAGCAGCTGGTGTGATTCAATATAACTTTCTGCAAGAAGAGGTCCGATTCTGTTCCACAACAACGCCCCCTCGCATATCCGCAGGCATATAGTAGTAGGTTGGCGAGAGGTCTGGGAAGTGGGGCAAAACTTCGACGCTCAATTCGTTCAATTTTCGGAGGACGATTCATGAAATGTGCAAACGGACGTTGCCCTGGACCTCTTTTTGCAGAAAGCTATAGTGAATCACACCAGCAGCTGACCAACATACTGTAACCATGTTTTGATCATTAAGAAGTGCCTGGATGGCTCATCGGTGTACAATCACTGTCCTTTACGTCTTCTGTTGTCGCAAGGGATTTACTTTTCACCACACGTGACAGACCTCGAAACGTGACAATTCTTGTCGATCGTTCAAATTGTGGGGCACCCACTTTTTGAGCTTTTCGACCTTTCCAATACGCTTTGAACCATCAAAAACCGCATGGGAAATGACGTCCAGTTCTTCCGCCATCTCACACATCATTTGTAATAGGTCAGTTTCCACCAGGGTCTTCAAATTCTCGTCCTGGATTACTGTAGGTCAACCACGACCTTCTAACGGCTATCCTTGGTCCAACAAAAATTGCGAGCAAGCTGTCGCCTCCATAAATATCGTCTACCAGCAGTGACGCAAAAATCCCAGTGTCGAAAACCGAACTAGGTTTGTTAATACTCGCAACAGCTGCAAACTTAGGACAAATGAAAGCAAAAACTTCGCAATCAGAGAATTAGGAATAAACTGCTTGCCAATCCCAATGGTATAGATCCTTCTGGTGGACAGTTGAAACTGTTGATCAGAACAGAATCCACAATTCTACCACTGACACAAAAAAATAGAAAATCTACTAGCTGAATAATTTGCGTCCCACTCCACAGTCGATTATCTGGGAAAGGCACCACCCACTATTCCCATACTAGAATCCACAATGCCGGAAATTACTTTTCAACAGCGTCTAGTCTAGTCTAGGCGAATTTCGAAACAGTTCAATATCAAGTCCTGATGAAGTCATCGTACTTGAAAAGTGCGAAAATTAACTCGCTCCAATATTTTGCAGACTTTTCAACCTATCTTACAAGAAAGGAGTTTTTCCTTCTTGCTGGAAGATTGATCATGTTCAGCCTATTCCCAAAAAGGGCAAGAAAAATTCCACAAATAACTTTAGATCCAGTCGCTTCACTATCAGTGATATGGAAAAATCATGGAGAAAGTCGTAAACCATCATATCCTCAAATATTCTGAAGGCTTCAACATCTTGAACGATCATTATTATGGCTTTCGAAAAGAAAGATCAACAGACGACCTTCTATCGTATGTCACCCATATTTTTGTCTTGTCATTCCATGTGGATTCTAGGACATCGGCTACGGAGGCACACCTTCACCGGCAGCAGAAGTTGCACATATTAATGAGGATCTAGAAGTGATTTTAAATTGGGGTGAAAGGGACCAGGTTTAATTCAATGCCACAAACCAAGGCATCGGTTTTCTCTAAGAAGATAATGTCTCCGAACTGGATATAATAATGCCAGGTCAGAAAATTCCGCTTTCTTCTTCGATAAGTTTGTTGGGGATTGAAATGGACACCAATATGTCTTGGCACAATCACGTAGCTAGAATTGCAAAGCCTCCTTCTCAAAAGCTTGGAACACTGTTCCGAATCAGAAAACTGTACACATCTCAGCAACTTTTGATGCTTTACAAAGCTCAGATCAGACCTTCTTTGGAGTATTGTTCTCATGTATGGAGCTCCGCCCCCAAACATACCCTGTAGTTGCTGGATTCCATCCAGAAGAGAGCCGTCCGCCTGTTTGGAGACGCGAACATCACATACAACCTTGATAGCCTGGAACATCGAAGGAAGGTTGGAGATTTGTCTCTCTTCTATAGACGTTTCCACGGGAAGTGATCAAGTGACTTGGTACATTTGATTCCACCAAGAGCGGTACATGTCAGAAATACGCAACGGACATCCTTTTGAGGTTCAACTCAGTTAACCTCGAACTTCACTGTTCAAAAACTCTTTCATTTGGAGAACTGCGTTTTTGTGTAATGAACTTTCTGAGAACATTTTTCCAAATGGGGGTAATCTCCAGCGATTCAAATTCAATGTGAATTGCTACTTTCGCACAAGCACCGCTCTGAGAGGATTTTTCTGTAGTGCTTGTGTTCTCAAAAAAAACTTGGGGGCTCATCTTAAAGTAATAAGCATAACAGAGGCATGAAATTCAAATTTGAAAAAAATTAACAGCAAAGGGTACCAAAATCTCTATAGCTCAGTATATATCTCGACAGTCTAATAAATATTTATTGACACTGAAACGAACAAAACTTTTGAAACACCCAAAAAGTCGCATGAGACATTTGTAAACTACGAAATACCAAGAAAAAATATTTTCCGTTCCTCTTGAGTATATAACTCACCTCATCGTAATCACGTTATGCAAATTGGAGCGCACTTGTTTCTGGTAAACCGCAAACAAATTGGATTTCGTTGCTGCCAACCCTAGTTCTTGTAGCGTTCCTTTCATTCCCTGATAAATTTTATCCAGTTCGTCAGGTTGGTAAACGTTAGGGACATCTCCAGAATTCAAAATATTATTCAGGTCTTCCAGGAATGATTCAGATTTTATCTGGAATTTGTTTTGATGAAATCGAATTGTCGAAATATATGATGCACGAAAATATAAAATATCGGGAAACCCATCGAGAATATTGGAGTGAATCTGACAACTGAGGGATGAAAAACTGTATACAAAACAGATATTTCAGTGTAATATCGGTTTCCAATTGAGGTCGTAGCAGAAGTATTCGTGCACGTTGTAACATATCTGCAACAATGTCTGGTACGGAATTTCGTACCTCAAAAAGCCCCTGAACGGCCCTGGTTTTAGTTTAAAATGAGTTTCCGTTGAGAGTGTGAGGTTAGAATTTCACTACCTGTTTATGGTAATATTTGATTTCTCTCCTAGCGTTCAAGAATACGAATAAATTACCAAACCATCAGGTAAGACACATTTTATGACATCCATAAATCGCAGGCTGTTTTTTACATAATTTTTTTCGTTATGTTATAAATATAGTTTGTTGCATATGTGCAGCAACATGCGGTAAGTTCATATGAAATGTGTTTTTAGCATGACTGCTAAGAAATACCTCTCAGATAAAGATTTGGAAGAAACACTACAGAATCTGAGTGAAAGTGAAGACGGCTGATTTTTCTGATGATAGCATCGCAGATCCAAATTTTCTGTCGAGCGATCAGGATTTGGAGAATTTTGTTTCAAATTTTGAAGATCAAGAAGGTGAAAACGAATTGGACTTGGATGATACAGCCGATGAAGAAGGAACCCTTGATGAAACCCAGCAAGAAACTAATGTTGTGATAACGACAGTATCAGTTCCTTCCACATCAGAAAGCTCATCGAATGGAAAGAAAACAAATCGAAAAGGTCAGCAGAAGAAAAAAAAAAATTATTTGGAAGAAAAAAAATCTCATACTGAATGAAACCCAGATGAAATTTCTTTGGAATTTGAGTCTTCCAGCTAGTATCATGGAGTTGAATACTCCTTATCAATTCTCCACTTTTTTATTCACCGATGATATAGTCAGTAATATTGTAGAAGAGTCAAATCTATATGCAATATAGAAGGATCCCAGTAGACCTGTCAATATAACCAGTACAGAGGTGAGACAATATATTGGAATTTGCTTCTACATGTCATTGTTTCATAATACGAACACCCGATCCTATTGGTCTGAGAGCTTGGGATTTGATACAATAAAAAAACAATGCCGGCGAGTCGTTTCGAAAAGATAAAACAATTCATTTATTCCAACAATAATGAAGCAAACAAGCCACATTCTTATAGACTGCAAAAAATAAGACCTCTTTATGATGCACTGAACAGAAACTTCTCAAAAGTTCCAATGCAGCAGTACCTATCTCTTGTTGAGCAAATTTGTTCTACAAAAGCAAGACATTTTCCGAGGCAATATTTACCACTTAAACCTCATAAGTTGGGGTTGAAACTCTTCGTTTTATCCTCCGTATCAGGATTTGCTCATAGAGTTGAAATTTATGTAGGACAAGAACATGACGATTACCCAACAGAAGTTCCTGATTTGGGTGCTAGCAGCAATGTCGTGGTTCGTTTGGCACAAATGATTCCAGACAACCTGAATCACAGAATTTACTTCGATAATTATTTTACCTCGATTCCGTTGATATCATACTTAGCTGGAAGAGGAATACTGAGCCTGGGTATTGTACGGAGAAATAGGATATCAAACTGTAAGTTGCCAGATGAGAAAGCTATGAAAAAAGCAGATAGAGGTGCTACATATGAATATGTTGCCTAATATAAGGGCACAGAAATTTCAAATGTTGCCTGGAAAGACAATAAAACTGTAACAATCCTATTGAATTTTGCTGGAAACCTCTGAGTAAAGTTCAGCGTTTTGATAGTAAGAGAAAGGAGAGAATTGAAGTGGATTGCTCATACATTGTGAAGGAATACAACCGGCACGACAAGAAAACAGTTTTCACTATATCGATCTACCCAAGATTCTATAAGAGTTGTATGATTTTCATGAATACAAGGAGTCTCAAAAAATGAGTCTGATTGTTTCAACAATTTCTTTTTCGAAATCTGTTTAGATGACAAGAAAACTGTCATCACCAAGTTAATCTACTCAAGAAACTATGGAAGTTGTGTGATTTTGATGGACGCACATCATCGGATATCATTTCTATATGGGAAAGTAAGTCTAATATTTCCAATTTTATTTTTCCCTAAATTTGTATTGTTGATGAGAAAACGATTATCAACGCGTCAATCTACTCAAGATTCTATAAAAAAGTTAAACACCAAATGGTCTTATTAATTCCACGTTCAACCTATAGTGAATAGGTATTTCCAGCCACAGATATTAGTACGGGTGCTAATGAGTTCGTATCCCAACCACAGATTTTTATTTTCCTCTACGTCAGCATGTGTGGCCAGAAATCTGTGGATAACTTCACGCCAATCTTTACAATTAGGCCATTATTACTTTGAACTTCAACCCGCTCACTTTCAAAATTACTTTATCAGTACATTAATTATACTTGATTATGTTTTTTTTTCATTTCATTTCGTGATATCAGTCATTAGCAGATGATCAAAATATTCAATGATTAGAATAAAGAGTTAATGACTGTTTACTTTTATAACTGATCTGTGCAAAAACAATGCCCGGATTTAAAAATATTGGAGGTTTTTAATTTTTACAACAGAAATGTATTTGGAGGTCACTAAAAATAGTCAATATTTTTTCTTCGGGAACGAAAGAAACAATATTGTGAACACAAGAACACAAGCGGAAGGTTCAATTGCAACAACAGCCACAGAAAAAGCAAATCTACTAGCTGAACAATTCGCGTCCCACCCCACACTCGATTTTCTGGGAAAGAAACCATCCACTATTTCCACACTAGAATCCACAATGCCGGAAATTACTTTTCAACAGCGTCAAGTCAGGCGAATTTTAAAACAGCTCAATATCAACAAGGCTTCTGGCTCTGATGAAGTGCCCGTCATCGTACTTGCTCAAATAAACTCCAGCACCAGTATTTTGCTGACTTTTCAACCTATTTTACAAGGAAGGGGTGTTTCCTCCTTGTTGGAAGATTGCTCGCGTTCAATTTATTCCTAAAAAGGACAAGGAAAATCTTTCAAATAACTATAGACCAGTTGCTTTGCTATCAGTGATATAAAAAATCATGGAGTAAGTCGTAAACCAGCATATCCCCAAATATTTGGAAGGCTTCAACATCTTGAGCGATCATCAGTATGGCTTTCGTAAACAAAGATCAATAGGAGACCTTCTAACATATGTCAGCCATATTTTGACGCTATGGAGCTTGTCAGACCATTTTTGTGAATAGCTTTTTAGCTTCCTGAAAGAACGTTCCCTGCAAGTGGACGTCAATGAATATCTCTCGGATACTTTCACCATCAACGTTGGTGTTCCCCAGGAATCCATATTGTCTCCACATCTTCAACGGCAGCAGGAGGTTGAATATCTCTATGAGGATCTAGAAGTGATTTCGAATTGGGGTGAAAGTAACCAAGATTATTTCAATGCCACAGAAAAACAGGCATCGGTTTTCTCTAAGAAGATAAATGCTTCGATGAGTTTGTTGGTGGTTAAAATGGACACCAATATGTCTTGGTACAACCATGTCGCTGGAATTGCATAGGCTGTTTCTCAAAAACTTGGAACACTGTTCCGAACCAGAAAACTATACACACCTCAACAACTTTTGATGCTTTATAAAACTCAGCTCAGACCTTCTTTGGAGCATTGTCGTCATGTATGGAGCTCAGCCCCCAAACATACCCAGAAGATGATGGATTTCATCCAGAAAAGAGCCATCCGCCTGATTGGAGACGCGAATATCACGTGCAACTTTGATAGCCTGGAATATCGAAGAACGGTTGGAGATTTGCCTCTCTTCTATAATTCCGCACAGGCACCGCTCTGAGAGCGCCTCAAGGATTTTTCTTTAGTGCTTGTGTTTTGCCCTTCAAAAAAAATTCTCTAAATGATCTTCAAGATCCCGATAATGAGCTGATTAAGTATTCGTTTTCATATTATTTGAAAACTGTGTTATTTGAATCCAATAATTTATTCCTAATTGAAGTTGAATAAACCAATAACATTGCCAAATTGTTTCAAAATAAAATGAAAGATATCAAAATAATAATACAATTTTTTTTCAAGTTTATCACCATTTCTTCTGGAAACATTTTTTCATCGTTATTTGGAAACACCTTGCATAAAGCAAAATTCATCGACCTCTTATGATTTTCAGTTTATGTGTACAGAAACATAATTTTGGATGTCTTGGAAAAAAGCGAGTAGAGCTAATCAACCTTCATATTAAATACGATTTCATACATAGCATTTCGATGTTAATGAGGATTGGTCAGTGCATCTGATGAGGGCCAATCTACACAAGTTCAACATTTCATACATACTTCCCCAGAAATTCTGTATGCAAATGTTCCACAGCATTCTAGCTGGTGGTTAGAATTTTTGTTCAGGTACCTAACCTAACCACCAGCCACAACAAAATAGAGGGATATTGAAACGTTGGTTGGGAGAGCACGACGTATTTGTGAGCCTGCGAATCTCCCTGAAGAGCAAAATCACCTAAAAATGCATTCAAAGTCCCAGTTTGGCTAGTCAAGGGAAAAGCTTTCCCTCCGAGTGTTGAAAATGTTACAGGCCTGATTGGGCGAATCTTAGAGAAACAGGACGTGAAACCGATATGTAGGCCAGGAACGCGAGAGAACCTTTAGCAACACCCGGAGTATACATGTCTTTTAAAGCACGTACAAATGAAATCGCAAAGGAAACAAATAAATGTATGGGATGTATGGGAACAGCAAAGATTTTGAAAATCCTGAAAAATTAATTTCATTATACAATGCATATATCAACAGCATATCAGGTGTTTCCTCTATNAAAAATTTCCTTCAACAAAATAAGAATAGACCGAGAATAATTATCGAAAGGGATAGACAATTCAAACGGTTACAAACAACAACAAAATACCACTTTATTAGACGTGTAAATCTTCAAAACAGTGTATTTACGAAAACATAAAAAATAATTATCTCATAAAACTGTAAATGAATTTAAACATTCAGATAACCCGTTCGTATAAATTACGGATCGATCTCTAGAAGTCAGTTCGAAGTTATCCTTCATGATGTTACATAATACATTCATTGTTGTGGTGCTACTAACAGTCGTCACTCTCTCAAGATGTGACGATATAATCGTTGAGGGTTACAAAGATGTAACAGAACTACAATTCTCTGTTGGAATTGACTCAATAAAGGATCTTCATAAGGCATTATCCGAGAAACCAGCCGTAGAAACCGTTAGAATCAGTGATCAGAAGGTACCTACAATACCCAGCAAAGCTTTGTCTGATTTGAACCTGGAAGAATTACGTATTGAGTACAGTGGATTGGAGGATATAGAACCTGGTGCTTTGGAAGGCTCAAATATCTCAACGGTATCGTTTTCCGAAAATAAAATACAGAAAATCAAGAAGGGTGTGTTCAATAATCTGAAGTTCCAAATCCTTCATTTAGTCGCCAACGAAATTTCGCACATCGAAGCCGGATCTTTCGAAGGTACGATTGCTGGACGAATTGATTTGAGCGGAAATAAGTTGGCAATTATAGAAACTTCCATGTTTTCCAAATCAACGATTACCACTCTCAGGTTAGAAAATAATAACATAGACGAAATTGAGAATGATGCATTCCAAAAAATCACAGATTTGAACCATGTAGATCTCAGTAGAAACAAGTTGGAAGTACTTGGTGACATTTTTCAGGACACAGAAAATTTGACGGACATCAACCTAGACTGGAATGAAATCACACAGTTGCAACCGGACACTTTCAAAGGTACCAGCTTGGTTTGGATATGGATAGAACAAAACAAGTTAACCTCGGTTCCGAAAGGAGTTTTCAATAATCTACCCATCAAGTTGATCAACTTATCCTGGAACCGAATAGCTACAATTGAGGAAGGTGCGTTTTCAAACATAAACAGCCTCTCTACTGTGTATTTGTCTCACAATAACCTAGCCAAGTTGAAAGCCTCGTTTTTCAACGGTATATCAGGAACACTCAACTCTCTTCAGCTGGATAATAATCATGTGAGTGAAATCGAGCCACACACTTTCAAAAATATCAAAATTCAAGAGCTGATACTCAGTGAAAATAATTTGACTGATATCAAGAAGGGAATGTTTGACGATGCTGACATTGAAATTTTGAGGCTCGAGAGGAATCAAATTAGTCATATCGAAGTTGGGGCATTTGATAGTGCGGACATCAAAGATCTGATTGATGTAAGTGAAAACCGTTTGACGGAAATTAAAAAAGAAATGTTCAAGATCCCTTTGTCCTCGGTGAACCTCGGAGATAACGAAATCACCTCCATAGATGAGGAAGCAATGAGAGGGTTAACATTGGAAGACTTGAAAGTAGAAAATAATCCCATATCCAGAAATACTGTTTGATTCTATCATTTATTCTTGATTGTTGAAATGAACCTTATCATGACTTGATTGTTTTCATAGCGGTGAGAAAAAAGAAATACAAAAATGAATATATTATTTGAAAAACTGTTTTATTCCGAAGAGATCTCAATAACCTTCGACTGTTATGTTTTGCAACTTTCCAAAATCGAAAAACTTACTTAGTCAAAATCAAGTAAGTGCAGCAAGGAAAAATTTCATGTCGAAAAAACGAGTTTAATACAAATTTTATATTTGATTCTAATGAAATGATGAAGTGTCAGAAACTTGTCTATTTGTGTTTACAGTTCACTTGAACTGATTGAATAACAGATGAGGTTAAATTCAGATCAAGATCTTCAGATGATGTGTTGCTGCAGGTTTTTCCTGGTTTTCTACAGCTCAAAAAACAAATGCGCCACTGGAATGAATCAAGTCATCTCGGATCGCCAATTCATTTTTGCTGTTGCTTCATGATTCCATAATTTGTATTACTTTCTTTTTTTCAATAATATTGGAAGTGATACCTGTATTATATGTAGTTACCCATGTATATATGTGAAATGTGATATTTCAACTCAAATAATTTAGTATGATATTCTTCAACTAGTGAAGTGATGAATAATTTGAAAGAGCCCAATTCACTTATCTCTAAATCTTTCATACAAAATGTTTTTGAATAACGTAACTTCTTCATCTCAAATTTCTGATGGAATGTCGATGTGATACACAAGTTATTATTGATTTATACATTCGAGACAGGTTTATGAATATATTCATGATCCGGGGGTCGTTGAAAAGATTACAAGAACAAGAATATATTTATTGAAATATGTAATCTTAATACACAATATTATATAAAACATATTACTAACATAGAAATTGAAAATAATTATATAAAAAACTTAAAATGTATATATATATTTCAAAATTGAAAATAAATATGTTTAATTTGGAAAATATTTGGACATATGCTATGGAAAATACATTGCAATATAGGTGCAGCTCCAATACAATGATAAAAAGGAGAAAACAACATACAAATACTGTATTTATTAATATTATCTTACCAAGTATTATTCTATCTCGCATTGTGTGTGGATTTCAATAAATGTTTTTTAAAAATACTTAATGATCGACTAGATTTAATTTCATTTGGTAATTTATTGTATGCATCAAATCCATTGAAAAATTAAGAATTCATGGCACTTCTCCTATTTGTTCTGCATAAATGCAAATTAGTATGATTTCTTGTGGAATAATTGTGCACTTCTGNGTAGATCATGCAGAAAAGTAACTTTCAGACACAAACTAGAAGACAAAGTTTTATTGAAACAACTACTTTCACATAAGAATTCAGTTATACGAATGAAAAAAGATAGTGTGCTTTAGACCACACGATTGAAATGAAACTTCTTCCGTTCCATCTATATGGATGTATATACAGGGCGACAATTTGAAAACTTATGGCTATATCTGAGCAATCAAATAAAATATAAAAAATCGTTGAAAACAACTTTCATAATAGGAAAGGAGAAACAAAGTGATGTAATAACTAACTTGTTTTCATTCACCCCCCCGCCTCCAGTCACCCCATGAAAAAGCAAAAAACCAGCAAACTCGAACACAAGCGACATTGGTGAAGAGTCCAAATTGAAAGTGCCCTACTTTCACCAGGTGCTAACGGAGGATTGAAAATACCTATGAATTTTCCTCAAATATTTGGGATAAAGTAGTAGCGATGCTATCCGAGGGTATATCTTCATTTACAAACATTTCAAGCAAACTGAAAAATTTCGTCACACCTTTGAACGGGAATTACGCTTGATAGTTTTTGGAAATCCAAAAACAACTACTCTTGACAAATTCAATCTATTAGGATGAAATAAGTGAAGGGCGGCAAATATCGATTCGGTATTTCCTTGTTCATACTGAAATTAATTGATTGATACTAGAAGAAGTCTCAATTTTGTAAAAATTAACAGAAGATTACCAAAATTGATGACAGCAAGCAAATTATTTATCCTCCTTCGTGTGAATTAACCAGTTATAAATAATTTGATATTACTGACCTTCACGGTCAACAGATAATGGCAAAAGTTCATCATATTTACAGTGCTTTTCTTCGATTTATTCATAGCAACAATCAGCTGATCATAAATTCACATAAAAGTGTAACAACAAATCAGAATTTGAATTCTCACATAGATTAATACTATCAAATTGAATATATTCAATACGATATAATGAAACCATATCTCAATTTTTTGTATAAATTCATTGAAGAAACTCACTTGCCGGAAAAACAGGGAAACTTGTAATATTTTTCATGATAGTGTATTTGAAAGCACTATACAGGATATTGATGGATTATATTTCAATATAAGTTCATTATCTTGGTCTGCAATTCAATGATAATTATTATGTTGGTTTACGTTATATTTTTTTGTCTACCTTTACTTCATGCATAATAGACATACCAGGTGAAATCAGGTCATTATAAGTGAATTATAATAATATTACAGCAAACCAGACAAACAGTTTCAAGCAAATGAAACTTCCTGAGCATTTTACCAGTAATAATAACTTTACCGAAACCAAGAAAGAAAATTCGACAACGCAGACATTGGCTTTTTGAGACTAAAAAGAAAATTAATCAGTCATATCGTAATCGGTGATTGGATCACGAAATACTGTTGCGGAAGCTTCCTCACCACGGCCTCAGAGAATTGATACTGAGCTGGTTCAGCTTATGTTTGTCAGGTCATAGCCAGATGGTGGAAACAAATCATCGTTCAGGAATTAGGAAAATACGTAAGGGTGTGCCTCAATGTTCAATACTAGGGCCAACATTGTTCCTCCTGACAAGTATGAATATCTCAGAAAAATTCACACTATTTGCAGACGATACTACCATTTTTTGGCAATCCGACGATGTAAATGATTTAACTAAAATCATATCCAACGATATGAAGAAAATAAAGAGGTGGTGTGATTCACATCGTTTTTTTCTAAATATTTTGAAAACTAATATAGTAACTTTCAGATGTGGACTTGACAATATACCCATCTGTATCTGTATATCTGCAGAGTAGGGAGGGTGAGTTTAGGAAGGTGGACATGTCACTAGAAGGCATTTTCTTGATATCGGCAGGTGTAGGCCAAGACTCGCCGAACACAAACTCTCTTTTTGACGATAACTCCGGACATTCACATAAGACATCTTCCTGTTCACACATCCTGCATAGAGGTGTGCCACTAGCCCCATAATATGAAGGTGTTTCCTTAGTTAAGAGTGCCAAGCAAAAAACCCAACGCCAAACCGGGAATTTTCCCGGGCAACCCCAAAAAATTCCCAAGCCCAAACCTTCCAAAAGCCACCAAACGGAACCCAGCAAGACTGCATCCTTTGATTCCATCCCATCTTTTTAGGGATTCAGCATGGGTGTGACGTTTGTCTAGTTACGCAATTGTCGAAGTAATCAGGCAGTAGGTGCCACTGGGTCCTAAAATTCTTAGTCCAGCCACTTCCTTGGCTAAAGAGTCGGCAATGCGATTACCTTTACTCCTGTCCTGCCCTTTTGTGGCGATTGAGATACCAGCAGTTCTCTTTGAACCACGCTGGTATTTTTTCCCATTTCCCAATTAATCGTTAGGCTTAGTGATCTGGAGTAAACTCCACATCCTGAGCCTTTTTTGATTTTTGAGCCGACTGTATATATGCGTATTGCATTTGTAGCATCTGACTCTGTGTTTTGTTTTATTTGTATTTTGTAGGGTTTATTAAACACAAACCTGGGTTCAATTGCTTCACTGGCTGCCTGCAGCATTGGGAATGACATCATTAAGAATAAAAGTAGCTTAAAATTTTGAGGAGTACCTATCGATAGAAAACAAAAATTTGAAGACCATATTTATGTTTTGTGTTACAAAGGGTCTTTTGGTTGTTATGCAGCAAGAGTAGTCGCAAATGAACTTGGTTTAAAGCAACTAAGAATGTTTATTTTTCTCTGGTGGAATCTCACCTGAAATATGGAATTCCATTTTAGGGCGTATGTAGTGGTTATCTGCTACAAAATATTTTAATTTTGCAAAAACGAGCCGTTAGATAGGTATATGTGCAAATCAAAACGTACAAACTCTTGTTTTACTCTTTACCACTCATGGAATTCTAACAGTGATTCCTATCTTTATAATGGAAACAGTGTATTTGATTAAAAAATATTTAAACAAATGTCATTGGCAAGGCAATCCAACAACATTAAGTTGCCAATAATAATTAGTCATTCCATTGTCTATGAAGGTTGTAAAATGTTTAACCATTTGCCAAAGAACGTAACAGAAATAAAATCTCCACATTGCACCCGAAAGGCTGTGAAATATTTTTTAAGTAATAGATCATACTATAATATAGAAGCATTTAATAATGACAATATTGAAAAAATATTTTATTTACCAGTGTCCTGTACGACTTATATGTTCTTATATACAGGGCTATTCAAATTCGTTTCTGTACATGGGGATCTCGTAAACCATAAGAGATAGAGTGTCGGTTAAATTGTGGCAAAGTTGTGTATTTTGGAGACCTATTCAATGATGTAATCATTGAATAGGTCTCTAAAATACACAACTTTCCCACAATTTAACCGACACTCTATCTCTTATGGTTTACGAGATCCCCATGAACAGAAACGAAATTGAATAGCCCTGTATATAAACTGATTTTATGTATTGAGTGGAAATTGATTGATTTGAATGCACATTGTTTTTACATATAAACAGCATTTTAGAATTAGTGTAACTTTGTCCACAAGATTACTCTTTATTAAAATAAAGTATATTCCCTCTCTCTCTCTCTTTCTCTCTCCCTTACATCACAGACTTGATCGATTTGAGTGGAGTGGAAATCAAAAGCACAGTAAAAATGGCAAAAATGGCAAAAGCTCCAGAACCCGTCAAAGTAACCATCTTAAACTACCATCTTCCACTCTCGTTAAGGATTCAATTATATATAACGGCTGCAAAATGTACAATCACTACCTACCAAATAGTATTAAAGATATACCGTACAACGCCAGCTTCGGAAAATCGGTAAAAAGAGTTCTTTCCGATAGAACCTATTATAGTTTAGAAGAATATTATGTGGATAAAATAGAATGATGAGTAGATCAAAACCATACACTCTCTATACACTTATACACCTTCTCTTGTTTGTTATATTTTGAATGTCAAATAAGTGACTGATTGTTTTCATTTGATTCAATTTTATATGGTAGTGACTATTTTTATACAATTATCAAATGTTATTGATTTAAACACATTTACATTTATATTTACACGGTTTGTCAACAAGATGTTATTCTTTGATATTAAAGCATATTTTGGTTGATTGATTGATTGAAAAAAAGGAATTTTTAGGTCTCCTTTGTCTTGATGAGCTTTGCCTCTTATGAAATCACCAGTGCAGAAAAAGATGCGATGAGAAATTCAACTCTGGAGGGCTTGTATATCGCCAATAATCCTATTTTTAAAAACATAAAAATGATGTTATGATTTCCAGTCGTTCCTTGTAAATTATTTCCGAATTCTCAGGTATGCTCTTTGAATCTCAGGTGGTCTATTGCGGTTTCTCAATAAATTGAAGTGTTAAGTTATTGTGTCTGTGGGCTACAAATTCTGGCCACAATGACACGTCCATGTTGCCAGGAGATTTTTATGCTTAGCATTATATTTTGCAGTAGATTATTTACGCAACTCAGTTATTTATTAACCGATACAGAAAATAAACTGAGTCATCGGTATATTTCAACTCTCAAACACAAGAACAGTAACGGCTCCATATACAAAACAGAAAATCTGCCGCAAAAAGTAGACTTGGCAACACTGAACACGTCACTGCTCTCGCTCGATTTCTTTTTCATCTACAATGAATTGATTCAAAATATGTCCCAGTTTCACTGCATCACAAACCATTTTCTTTTCTTGAAGAATTATAAGTTTTCAAAAAGAGAATATAAGTGAATCATTTTTTGAATGTTATTTTAGAATATTCCAAACCAATACATTGAACTACTATCAACTGATGACGATGGACTCATTCAAAATAAACAATTTGATAATAACAAAAATAATGGTTATTATATTGAAACAATTATTAATAGAGTAATTATATCACTTAAAAATCACCATTTACCACATTCAAGTTGACTTCTTCTGATGTCACTGGAAAGTGTCTTTCATTTGGTATTTCCAAAATATTTTGAGAAGTTGACATCGAAGAATTGCTTCGATTGAAATCCTGAAGTGATAGTATTCGGTATCCATGTTTTTTTTTAAGAATAAACTCTGTGGAATCAAGGTTCACTAGAATGAGGTTATCAAGAACAGTGTTACCACTCAAATCAACAAACCAATTGATCTTCACTCCACGAAATGCTCCAAGTTCTATTGTACTGATTTGATTTTCCTGAAGGCTCAAAATATTAATATCCGCCCCTTCGAACATTTCTTTATTGACAGTCGTCAAATTGTTATGGCTCAAAGAGAGTTCATTTACTATTAATTGTCCGAATGTTCCCGGATCTATACTGCTGATATTGTTGTGATCAAGTTGCAATGCCTGTAGTTTTCTAGTTTTGGTACTGACATTGAAAAATGCTCCTGCTTCGATTGTGGTTATTTGATTTCCGGAAAAATCTATCAACTCCAGAGGAAGGTTGTTGAAAACTCCTTGATGGACTACGGAAAGGTTGTTTTGTCCTAAGGATATCCGTGTCAAGCTAGTTCCTTTAAACACACCAGGACAAAGCACTTTGATTCTATTCGAATTTAGAAGAATATCGGTCAGATTGGTAAGGTTTTCGAAAATATCACCAACAGTTTCGAGTTTGTTTCCATCAAGATTAATGTATGTTAAGCCAGTAATCTTACGCAAGGTTGAGCTTTCAATTTCACTTATGTCATTGTGACTCAACACCAGCTGACTGATTGTTGAGTGATCGAACATCGATTCACTTAATTTTGTTAGTCTATTTGAGCTCAAGTCAAGACCATTTGCAACCATACCTTCGAAAGCTCCACCTTCTATAGACGAAATTTTGTTCTCATTGAGAAAAATCATTCCAAATACTCTGTAACCGAACACTCCCGTCTTGATTGCTTCTATGTCATTGTAAGGAAACTTCAGGTTTGATATATTCGCTGAATCTAAAGCTCCTGGTTCTATATCTTTGAGTCCGCAGTTAACCATATGAAAATTTTCCAGAGTCACATTAGCTAAAGATCTGTTTGGCAGTACAGATACTTCCTGGTTGTCGATTAAAACAATGTTTAAGTTGGTTTTATTGTGTAATATATCGGCGAGGTCACTTAATGAACTGATAGTAGAGGTGAATTCAAGATGGGGAATTTTTTTAAAACCCGCAACAACTATATCACTACATTTCGTGTTGGTGATGGTGAGTATTAGCACGAGAATAGATGCTTCTTTGATTTGCATTGTAATCATTAAAACTGACTGAGTATTGTCTGATTGGGGAATTTATACCAAGATATGTCTAACAGTTGAAAAGTGCTGATTGTGCTTGGTATTGAGATTTCAACGTTCAATCTGACATCATACTTTATCCCAACATTATCAATTATTAAACGTCAATTCGATAAATATATGCTCTACTTTCAACATGTTAACGATTCAGCAAATGTGTTGATTATTATTGAATCCATTTTAAAGAAAAATGAATATGCGGAGAAGTTTATCAAGAGAGTCAACAGTTTTTTTTGAAAACTGTAGACTACACATATTGTTGCTACGTGATGGACAATAACAACCCCCTTCTTTTACTGTGTTTGATTGCGGTTTATCTCAAGAGCCAGGCAGGACGAAAAGTTCGAAAAGCAGCTTAGTAGAATTTTTCTTCGTTTCCACACTAGCAACACCTTTATCAGGACGAACCTTTGAGATGCGTTCTTAGATCTATTCATTTCTATCCGTCAACAACCACGTTTCTCGTCAACAACTACGTTTCTCTACATATCAGAGTTGGTCGATAATCTCCACTGACATCAATGAGCATTGGCTAAATATCCAGCCATTTTTCATTGCTTTATGTTTGACAGTTCATGTTCAATAGTACCAGGATTCTGGACGGATCCATATCATATGATTGGAACTCAAGGCTTCTGACTCATCGGGATCTATCTCGAAATAATTCAACGGGCGTGACTTCATCATATACTCAATTTCAGTGAGCAATGTTGAAAGACTTTTTTTTCAAGACGAATGGACTCTAATGGAATTGTTTTGATCGATGACACCATCCGCCTCCAAGTTCCACCAATGTGAAAAGAACTAAAGAGATTGACCCCTCCACGTGAATCGTTCCAAAGAAAGTTCATCTTGGGTAATTCATTGATTTTTTGAGTTAACGTTCAGCTTCAACAGCTTTTGCCTCATTATTTGAGAATTCTTTGATTGTTCGCATCGAAACATAAAACCACGAATTGTCATGATTGTGGACCAAGTGTTAAGACAAGGCGCTATCTCAGTATGTATTATTCTAATTGTGAGGCAGATTAAGAGTTTTCCATATGTTTTCTTTGACCTTCTTCTAATTGAGACAATCCAAAAAAGTCCAAAGAAAGGAAAAACAAAAGGTGGCAATCTTTGTTCTGGAATCATTTTCATTTCGGCTTCTACTGTTTTCCTAATTTTACATTCCTAGGAACCACTGAAACCTATTTGTGAGCTGCTCTGATTCGCAGGATTCAAAGTTTTGATCACTGATTGATTACTACGTTTTCGACTTCAAACAGCCCACTGAAGTTAATGTTGAATGAGTAACTTGGTATACAATTCATTATGATCTAAAATATTCGAATAGTTATAATCATAATACATGTTCGATGATATCTGAGAAGGAGTTCAGTTTAAACAAACCACTGATTTTTGTCAATGTCTTTACCATTTCTTAAATGTTAAATTTCACTTCTAACGAAAGAGTTTGACTTTCATTCGACCATAATTTTGAAACATCTGAAATTTCTTCGCTATCAAGGAACAGTTTTGTTTAAGGACAAAACACAAGCAATACAGGAAAATTCTTGCGGCGCTCATAGAGCGGTGCCTGTGCGAAAGTACTGATTCACACTGGATTTGAATCGCTGGAGATTAAATCCATTTGGAAAAAAGTTCTTAGATTGTTTATTCCATATAAACTACGTTCTCCAAACAGTTCTTAAACAGTGAAGTTCGAGGTGTACTGAATTGAACCTCAAAACGATGAGCAGCCAAAGTCAGTCGCGTATTTCTGATATATACCGCTCTTGGTGGAATCAAATGTGCCAAGGCACAAGTTTCGAGTTGTCGTTGTCGTTCGTAGGGGTGTGACAGCTGGTTAACGGAATAACAGTTTTTTTTCAAACTTGAACACTTCCCGTAAAAGTATATAAAGGATACAATAAATGCTTTCCTTTCTGATCATCATTTTGATGTTATCTGCTTCTCAGAACATTGGCAGACTGAGGACTGCCTAGCACATATCAATATATCAGGATATACTTTAGCTAACTTTTTTTGCCGTAGTAATAAAATTCATGGAGTCGTAGCCATTCATGTAAAACAAAATAAGAATAGTTTAAAACACATTCCAATTGATTTTGATGTTTTTAATAGTGAAGAAAACTCGGAATTTTCAGCCATTTATTTGCCATCCATAAAAACTGCGGTCGTAGCAGTGTACAGATCTGGTAAAGGCAATTTTGAACATATATTAAACAATTTATTGGGGAATTGCGACAAGCTGGTAATTTTAGGAGAAAGCTAGATTTAAACGATTTAAATAGTTTTCATAAAAACAATGTTCTTAGTTCTCATTAAAAAAAGTGTCACCAGCGGAAGGAATGCGGTAAGTATGCTTCATGATAATGTGCAATGTATCTCTAATAAGTTGGATACAATAAATGTTTTCCTTTCTGATCATCATTTTGATGTTATCTGCTTCTCAGAACATTGGCAGATTGAGGACTGTCTAGCACATATCAATATATCAGAATATACTTTAGCTAACTTTTTTACCGTAGTAATAAAATCATGGAGGCGTAGCCATTTATGTAAAACAAAATAAGAATAGTTTAAAACACATTCCAATAAATTTGGATTTTTTTAATAGTGAACAAAACTCGAAATTTTCAGCCATTTATTTGCCATCCATAAAAACTGCGGTTGTAGCAGTGTACAGATCTGGTAAAGGCAGCATCGATGTATTTCTTTTGAATTTTGAACATATATTTAACAATTTACTGGGGAATTGCGACAATCTGATGTTAATTTAAAACAACTTCAATTTGAATTTCAAAATAGAAACTGGCATTTTGAATTATTTAAAGTGTGTGTTGAGATCGTATGGCATGGTGGTCACAATCTTGGAGGATACGAGAATTACAGCTACTTCCTCCAACTGTATTGATAATATAATAACTAATGTAGCAGAACAACGATTTTTGGTAGGTGTTTTCGAGCCTTGTTTTTCAGACCACCGGGCACAATACATTGTCATAGGCAATAGTATGAATCCAACCGGTTAAGAGACGATTTATATCGATTGGAGTCCATTTTGCTTAGGTTTGTCAGATGTAGATCTTCTGGCAAACTTTTTTGTCAATACATTTCATAACTTAAGTTTAAAATGTTTCCCCCTAAAACATAATAATCAAAATAATAAGCATTCTCCAGTGTCTTAGTTTACAGACGACTTGAAATACCTGAGAAATCAACTTTCTGCTTTAAAGTTGGTAACTGATGTGACAAAACATCCAGTTTGCTTGGAAAATTATGGGGTACTTAGGGAAGTTTATAATAACAGGTTAAAAACTCGAAAAAAATTGTATATGACAATTTCATCATGTCATCTGAAAACAGAGCAAAGGCTTGTTGGAAAGTCATTAACTATGAAAGAAATGAATCAAAACAATCTGAAGTAACTCCTGATTTTTCACCACATGAGATAAATTACTTTTTTTGTGAAATAACTGTTAATATTATTGAATCTCTTCCGAACATATCCAATGACGAGCTCCTCAGTTTCAAAAACTTTCCTGCACCGTTTAGTTATTTCTATTTGCACCCTGTTACTCATTTTGATGTCTCTTCAACCATAAAGTCTTTAAAAAATTCTAATTGTCTTGATATTCATGAACTAAATAGTCGAATCTTGAAGGAAACCAATTTAATTGCTGTAAAACCTTACACTGAGCTCATAAATATCATGTTTAATACTTGGTCATTGAAATATTTTGATTCAAACGGATTCTTCAGTAACTCTCAATTTGGCTTCAGAAACTCCCACTTAACAGTACAGGCAATTCTTAATGTTGTCGGTGACGTTGTAGAATCATTTGAACAAGGCAATCATACAGCTATAATGCTGTGCGATCTTTCGAAAGCTTTTGACTGTGTGTCACATGACATACTCTTGGAAAAACTAAACTATTATGGTGTTAGAGAAATTCCCTGGAAACTTATTAGTTTTTATCTTTCCATTAGAAAACACTGCGTTTTAGTGAACGGTAAAACATCAGACTTTCAGATTGTCGGTCATGGAGTACCCCAAGGTTCGGTTTTGGGCCCCCTCCTCATCCTATCATTTATATTAATGACCTCAGCTGCTTTATGTCACCTTATAGGTCAGTTCTCTTTGCAGACGACTCAACGTTTATTATTTCTGAGAAAGACAACGTAACCTCGGATGCTTCACTGAATTCTGCTACTAACAAGGCAAATGAATGATTTGCAGCAAATAAATTAAAATTGAATAGTAGTAAAAACAAATAATGCAAATATCAGCAAATAACCAATCAACTGTTGATCAAGAAACAAAAAGCGTAAAACTGCTTGGATTAGTGCTGGACCACAGACTAAACTGGCAGACACATATTGATCAATTAGTTAAAAAACTATCTAGTTCCTTATTCATTTTACGACAATTGAAAACAATAACTGTTTCACATTAGCTATGGCTCTGGGGTAATTCCATCCATGTGATAAAAATTTTTAAAATGCAGAAGAAGACAATAAGGGTACTTACCGAAGTTGGTTTTAGACATCACTTTCATGAGTTTTTTATAAAATTAAAAATTATGCCTTTACCATGTTTGTGTTTATTTCACACTTTAATTGAAATTCGTAGATATCAGTCACCTTATCCGAAGCAGCCGTTTTCGACTAAATATTCGAACTCACTGAACTATGAGCTTTTTAACACATTGCCATCAAATGTAAAAAAATTGAGTATTAATGCCTATAGAGAATATTTAAAAAAGTATCTCCTTAAATATTGTTTTTGCACTGTTGAGGATTACATTGCGCATTGCAGAGTCAACCGCATTGCAGCATCTCTGCTATGATAGTTCAATAACATATTTTAACTCAATTCTTAAATTCCTATTTTTACTGTATTTGTCAAATTTTATGTAAAAAGAAAATTATTGGACTTTCTTTTTTGACGTGCTA